TCCGATTTGATATTGAAATTAGAGTTATCTCTATATTACTTTTTAACAGTGACGTTATTATACCGTAGAATACATTATATAAACCAATATAGTTAATACATGCACATGTTATATTGTGTGTTAGTTAATATTATATTTCTCTATATTATATTAGTGATGCACGTTTTATTGATACACATTTTAGATGCATGTAATATATTAGTGATGTTAGTGATGCAGTAAATGAGTTATCATTAATATACGTGAAAAAGACATGTTAGTGATGCAGATATTTTTTGGTTGATTAAATAACTCATTAATATAACTGAAAAAGACAAGCATTTAAATAGGATGTTTAATTAATATAACTGAAAAAGACAAGCATTTAAATATGAAGTTTAATTAAATTCCCAGTGGCATATGAGTGTAAATAAGTTGGAAAACTTAGGGGTATTTTTTAGTGGGTACTTCTCTTTTAATAATAGAGATATTTAGTCATATTGTGGAAATTACATTGTCGTGTAGATATATGACTTACGTTGCAGCATTTGAGAGGAATTTGGCTGAAGCAGTATAGATATGAACACAAACCATGATATATACACGTATGTATAGTGTTAAATGATTTCAGTGGCAGCTTATAGCACTAATTCTCTTATGGTAGACAGTCTCCTCTGATGTTGGTAGCTAGCTGTTATTGTCAACGTTCTATGTTTATGGTATACCGTATACAGTACCCGAAAGGAGTGTAACTGAGGCTAAGGATGAGATGTCCAAGCAAGAAAACTTGCTGAAAGATTTTGGTAAAAAGGCGCCGTTTGTGATCGCTATTCATGCATGTGCCTTCCTTTCCTTCCATGTCTCTCTGATTTTAGTACCTGTTTAGTTTTCGATAAACGAAGATTTGGATGTATCAAGTGAGCTTTTGGCTGCTTTTTATGAGATCGACAAACCCTCTGTTGAATCTTGAATGGTACAATTGATCATATACACGACTGATTCATTTCTGGTGTAGTAAACCGCACCAAAACATTTCGGTTTCTGTTTGATAAAAAAAGAATATCTCACTCAATAATTCAAGAAACCAATTTTTTTAGTACTAATCCAACAAGAAAACGAAATGCCTACACTTTAAAAAAGTAATGCAATTACCTAGAAAAGAATAATAAATTGGATAGTGCATGTTAAAAACCAACTATATAACTTTGAAAAATCTATATTTTTTTTGTTCATGAATGCTTTTTAACAGGTTAAGAAAAATTCCTAAACCATTTGGAACACTTTAAAACTTTTAGATTTTTTTCCCTTATTTTTTTGAATGTTGTAGTAGTATTTTAAAATAGAACATAAAACAATAAGATGTAAAAGGATTTAATTTTAAATAAAGTTATATTTTTAATTACTCTTAAAAGAAGTCAAGTTTAGTGAGAAAAACATGAGTTTTTTTTTGGTTTTGGCATGACAAACGAGGATGTGTAAACCAGTTTGCTCCATTAACTTTAGACGATTTTCTATTAGATAACAATATAACGCAAATCTAATCTGTTCTCTAAATACAATCTAATTCAATAATAAATTATAAATCATGGAAAGAAAATAATTTACGAAAAGAAATGGTGCTACGTGATTCATACATTTGTGGGCGTGCCCAAAAGGTTTAAAGCTACTGAGATTATAAAAACTTATATATTTTCGATGGCTGTTGCTATTAGCATGTAATACAAGAACGACAACACCAACTACAAATAATTGGGAAAAGAGGGACGGTATACATATCTTATGCAACACACGGTCGAATGGATAATTAATTTTATAAACGGGCATACATTAGTTGGGTATTACATAAGACATGCACCACTTACCAATAATTGAGCAATTATTACACCTAAAAGTTTCTTACATTTTAAAATCCAAAGATACATGTATATGCATATTTAAATGGGGTTAGTTCCATACAAAATGAATGGGAAACGAATTTCAAGAATTCTAGAATATAATGATCCGATCTGGTAACACATTCATCAATGCGTGTATGGTGTATACTTAATATGAAAGACTGGTTGAGCTTATGTATTTAGAAGTTAGAATACACAGCATGTACCCAATGCGTAACAACGTGAAAGAATCGCGAGAGAACGTTTGAGATAACTAAATAGTTATTTTGTAATATTTCGGTTTATGGTATATAACTAAATTATGTGATTTTCCTGTGTTCATGCACGGGTACAAATATTTTTAAAGTAAATATATGATAATAATTGATTACTATTTAGTTTTACTTTTAAATTAATTTATAATTTGTATATATCATTTATATTAATAATATTATATTATTTTAATTATATTATAATTTTTTATATGTTATATCTAGTCAATTTTGTTGTTTTAAGGTTGATTTAATTATCATTTGGATAAATTGGATTGTATATCTGAATTCAACTGTAATATTTTTAAAATATATTAATTTTTAATTAATTACTTATTTTCATATAGTAGGTGATGTCTTAGATATGTAAATATATTCTAGAAAAATCATGTATAACTTAAGATATATTGTGCTTAGAATTAATTAAAAATTAACGAAAGTGTCTGATTCCAAAATACGTAAATTGATATAACGATAATATTATAAAGTCTCATGCTTATATATAAATTTAACAAAAGAATTAAAACTGTAAGCATTGGTTAATATTTATTTTCATTTCTTAATATGTTTTGAGTTATTCTATGATCAATAGAAATTACATGCATAAGTAGTTGACACAGTATTGGAAGCTCATGAACACATATCAATATTTACAATAATTAAAATATTTATAAATTTTAAATAACTTTATGTTTTAGATTTATTGAATGTAAATTGAAATTTATTTTAAATAATCTTAAAATTGGGATTTGCTTTGGTATTTTGATTATGGTTATATTTAGTTTCACAAACATAAAAACATAAAATTTAAAACAAAATTTAATATTAAGAATTTTTTTTAATAATGATAAAATATCATATATCTAGCTCATTAAACTAATTTTTAATTATTTGATCAAGCGATGTTTATTGTTAAATTTATTTTTATTTTTAGTATCTCTTAAAAATAAGCACTACACAAAATTGTGATTGTATTTGAAAATAATATTATATAAGTAAAATATAACTTATAGATAATTTTCTGTAATTGAAAGATATTATAGTCAGCTAAATATATAAAAATAAATTAAAAAATTCAATAATATTAATTATAAACTATTTTTATTACTCTAAAAGTATATTTTATGTTATTTAAAAATATTTTTTAAATGTATTATTACTATTTTGTGAACTTTTCTTTTTTATGAAATCATATTATATATACATATATTTTTCGTTTTCAATTCGTTTTTATGACTTTATAAAAAATTCATTATTATTACATATATTTTTGGAAATTTTTGAAAAGGAAACTAAATAAAAGAATTAATAATACTATTTTTAACTATTTTTAATTCATTAAAGGTATTAGTGTAATCAACTATCGTGAAAGGGAACGTGAGAACGACACATAGGAAACTGACTTCTCAAATAATATTATAGAAATTAGATCACTAAAATACGATCACTTTTTTGGGTATACATCCATTTAATACTTGAGAGTTAAATGCACTTATATTGGAGTAGTAAAAAGATAATTGACCTATTGAAAATAATTCACGCTATTGTGTGAGTGAAGCCAATATACGTGAAAATATCATATAGTGCTTATAAGATCAATAAACATGATTTCTGTGCCTTTAAAAATTTAACATACCATCCATTGCATGAGATGGTTCTAATAACCTATTAAAAAGTGATTCACTATGTTTTATGAGTGAGACTAAAGCACAGGAAAATATTATGATTTTAGGATCAATAATTTTGAATTTGAGATGTTTATTAAAAGTATATCATTTAAGAATACATTTGAAAGTATTATCATACTCGTGGTAAAATAGAATTTTTTCCAATAATTAATGGAAAATTTCTAAAACAATAATAAAAACTTCTCTTACTAGAACATTAAAGATGTCTATTGGATCAGAAATTATAAAGAGTTTGTGTTCATACTACTGTTAAAAATTTTGAGCAGACTTTAGGATATTTGAAATATATTTTAACAATCAGAGTTTATTAAAAATAATGATTTTATTCCTTAAATTTTATTTTGTAGGAAATGTGTAAAATATACGAAACTGAACTCTTTTCCAAATAATATATTTTAATATATATATATATATATAAAAAAAAAATCTGATTTTTTTTTAAAAATATGAAAATAATTTTAAAATCAATATAACCAATGAGGATAAATGATTTTAAACACAAATTTGACTATTCCGACCTGAATGTGGTACACAAAAGTACAAATAAAATGGATGATCAATAGATGCAGTCATATACTAGTAAAGAAGCTAAATGGCTTTGTCCTATAATTGCTTCCATCTGATCTAAACCTTAATACTCTTACAAGAACATATGGTTTCGCAGACTAAAAAATAACTTGTGTTTGCCAATAATGTCTTCAGTCTGGACTACTGATTGCTTTAGCAGAAGAGACTAAATCTTTCTTACAGGGCTTCTAAGGTAAGGAGATATTGTCAGAGAATCTCTCGCCTTCTTAACGCATTACCGACTCCTTTACAAAGGAACGGCCAGCCGAGCTGCAAAAATCGTAACACTAAACATTGATGGAACTCAAAAAACTGAAGTGCGTAAAAGAGTGGGTTGGTTGGTTGGTTACTCACGTATATTCGAGGTGGATGTTCATGAATCGCCGGTTCTCTTTACTTTGAGAAAGAGTAACGGAACCTTCAATGATTTGGTCTTGCTCTACGTCTATCGGGTCATAGAAATATACAATCGTCTGTCCAAGAAAAGTGGTATAAACGTGTAAGCTACTTCCTCAATAACATAACCACATTTTATACTGTTTAGTATCATTGATCTTAACTATTTGATTCACTGAAAAGTAAAACTGATAAGAGTTTTGAAGAAATTGAGAAACATATGCAGAAAAAAAAAGAATTGGTCTTACTTGCTGCCAATGCGTTGGAGGAGCCTCAGGAGAAGTGGACAGCACGAGTGCATCACTCGGATTACTCCGCTTCTTTTGATTTCCTTCTCTAGAAGGACTTATTGATGAAGAACCATTGGCAACGCTTGTTGCACTAGTATTCTTAGCAGGTTCACTGAACTCAACATCAAACCAAAATGCAAAACCATGCATAGGAGCTACAACAAGAAAAGGAAAAAAAGACTCAGCACAGAGAAGAAGCAAAGAGTAATCTTCTCTCTCTAAGATGAACACAGACGCACGGATAGTTGATACGTACCTCTCATCATTGACTTGAATTTGTATTTTGCAGTAACAGAGTCTAGCTCTTGGATTTTTATTGTTTGACAGTCTATATGTTTAACCTGCATTTTAAATGTCATAAATGATATTCACTCAGTAACGCAGTAGCATAGCAGAGAACTCAAAGATATTGCAGGTTGCAAGCACTCAGAGAACAAGTAAATACCACTTCGGGCCACGTTAGAACGGTCTCGCCTGATATGGACTCCACGCTAGGTTCTTCAAATGCACACTGTTTAGCTAATTGCATCATTGCAGACACTACAAAGTGCAAACCATAACAAACATTACTGTCTATCACTTATATTATTTGACTGTTTATCTGATTCTCGAGGACAAGTTCCCCAACGTGAAGATGAGTGCGAAACAAACATTCAATTGACCTCTTAAGATTAAGTAATGCTACATCTTTACTCCCCTTAGCCAAGGACCACGATTAGTGGATTATCAAAGTCATATATGCTATCACTTTGGCCTAGTTTATTAATCCACTCTATCTAGGAAATGATCAAACCTTTCCCCCTATAATAAAGGATATGGCAAGCTCATATCTTATAATGCATACGAGCTTATCAAATCATCAAATCCACATAAATTATGGTAATCCTAACTCAGTTTTAACTAGACTGCCAATCAAATTTAACGTAGTGATTGTCCCAGATTTTGATATAATACTTACTATCAATTCCATAAACGTTGCGCCAAAAATCAATGCTGTGACTGTATCTGTCAGGGTGTGAAATGGGTGCCATGTATAACTGTCAACAGAAAGTCAACATATCAAATGTTACCTTGTTTAACAAAAGTCACTAGAGCATACTGTGATATAATATTTGAGGAGATCGTAATCATACTGTTGCATGTGAAGGGAGAATTAAACCTCCAGGCTTCAACCAGCGATCTCTAGCTGTAATAACACTTCCCAGCATGCTCTACACATCAAAATATAATACGAGAATGAGAGGCCAGGGAGAGTTAAGGAAATTTTAATAATTCGGTAGGTTATCATTTGAACACCAACACAAAAAGTTATATATACAAGATAAGGAAATACCTCATATAAGAGCATGTAACCCATCCACTCTGAAATTATAACATCAACCTCCTCGTCGATTTCAACATCCTGATTCAGAATGTTACAGCAAAAGAAGAATTACTACAGAATGAGTGCATACAAACTTGAATGTTTATTGTATCCAACCAATGTATCTCAAATAGTAGTGTAGAGGTATAGAGTATCTCAAATTCTTCATCTCTTTATATTTACTTTCGCATCTTTCTGTATACGGACACCGGTTTATCTTTTTTCTTTTGCAACTTATCTAGACATCAACCTTAAGTTTGTCTCACATATCAGGACAAACTTTAATCATTAAAAATTTTTTACCTCCACTCTCCCATGCAAAACAATGACCTTGTCAGATAAACCGTTAGCTTTCACAACTTCCTTTGCCTGATGGTATTAGGAGAGAAAAAAACAACGAATGAATAGAAACCATTAGTATGATTCACAAACGCCAACTCTGATAGGGAAAGAATCAAAGGAATATCACATGCAGAACTAAAATACAAGAGTCGTAATAAATCATATGTAAGTTAGATCAACTTGACAGAGCCCAATACTTCAGAAACATTCTCAAGGGCGATACAAAACATTAAGCAGTGAATAATATAATTAAATACAACCAAAGTATGGGTTAGGGTCTACTTAACTGTGAAAATTTTACGACAGTAAGAGATACTATTATTAGCACACTCTAAACATATGTCACCAATTCCAAGCTCAAACTTTAACGAATGACAACAGGTTTTACTTCAGCTGGAATTTTTCAAGCCATTAACATACGATGATAAGAAATGGCCAATCTCATCACTTCACGAAAATTGCAGAAAACAGAAGCTAGGGATCAGATAATCGAGAGCAATCGTCTAAGACTAAGTAACTGGATAATACCTGGACTGCAATATCACTTGCATCTACAGCATATACCTGCAAGAAAATTCACTTTTGTAAGAAACACATTAACATTGTTGGTTTATCCCTGCGGACTATGGAATATATACAGACAACAGACACACAGATACTAATCATATTTAATGCTACATTCTTCAAAATGTTCAATAACAAAGTTTTGCCTACACAGAACTCATACCCGTTTAGCACCCGCTTGGGCACAGAAGATAGAAAGGATGCCTGTTCCACAGCCAACGTCCACCACAACCTGTTACAAGCAATCGTTGCAGAAATAAGTCTTCAAACAAAGGAAACGTATCCTGACACAGGCTAAGCAAAAACTAAAGAACAGTCCCAGTTTGAATCTTCTTCAATATCATCTACAATGACAAAAAATATAGCAACGGGAGAGTATTACCTTGTCTTGGATTAAGCTCTGATGCCGCATTATAGCTTCCCTATAAGTTTCCGTCCTTGCCCGATCCTGTATCAACCAATGACATTCAACAAAGAAGTGAGAAACCACGAGGAACAAAAGCACACTGCAGAGAACAAAGAATGGAACTTTAATGAAGACGAAGACACGAAAAAATCCCAATTCGGCTCAAGAACAAGAAAGCACATACATCAAACAATACACCAATGCTCAAGAAAACAAGAGGGTAACTTATCCAAACCGAAAAGGATTCAACTTTAACTTTCAAATTTCAATTTCAAAGCTCTCAAACCTTGATCATCTCTTCGTGAATCCCGACGTGGGCGTAGGAATGAAAATAGGCAACATCGAAGTCTGTACAAGGCAGAGAAGATCCCTGAGTGTCAAGTGGCTTCTGCTCATCGGAAACCCTAATCCCATTGGTGAGAGCGCCTCTAGGGTCACGAGCTCCGCCGCGACCGCGTTTCTTGGCTCGGCCAAAGGAGCTGAGACCGGGGACTTGCCTCTCTTCCAAGTCAAGGTCGCGGTGGTCGTCTCTGTGGAAACCGTTGCTGAAATCGCCGCCAGATTGCATAGTTTCAGTTAGACAACACCAGAGAGGACCTTCTCTGACTCTTGACGACGACTGTTTTTCTAATGTTAACAAAACCAAAGGAGCCTCCTTTCTTTTTTTAATTAAATCGTTTTTTTAATACAGAAATTGTTTATATAATTTTAGCATTTAACCCTATTTTGGGTCCTTTCAGTGATACTACAAATTAGAGAAGGGTCAATATGTAAATTAACAACAAATCCAAAAGAGAAGCGTTTTTCATGATTTGTGTTTGAGAGGAGAAACTTCATGTTGACAAAAATATGGTAAGATTCACTCATTATATGTTGACATCAATACAGGAAAATCATCTAGTGAGCAAAGAGATTTGTGGAGAAGTAGTTACATGACATTATTGCACATCTAAGTAAACGGATCTCTAAGAGTTAATCTCTATTTGTAAAATTTATGGAATTAATTAAGTGTTTGGTAGGCTAATGATTATGTTTTCAAGTGTTGATAGTCTAATAATACTGTTTTCAAGGGGTAATGATAATGGTCAATATGAAGGAAAATTAGTATGAAAATCAACATTAGATAGAAATCATTATTTTTGAATAATCTGATAGTTTTGGAAATCTCAAAATGATAAATTATTTAGAGGAATTGATAATGATCCTTTAAATTTAATCAGACACACAAAACGGGAATGCAGAGCTTGATATTCAACAAATCCAGTTGTGGTTACACCGATACAACTACAAATATTATTGACTCACACTTATGTGCAGTGGATGGTTCTTGAACTTCTATATCATAACTTATTGGATGTAGCTGAGTTTGAAAAGACATGTAAAAAAAAATGTGTTATTGGGAATAGAAAACCAAAAGAAAAATGGGCTAATTTGCGTAGTAGCCATGTTTGGAGTGAAAATTAGGTAAGTAGCATTGATTTTGACATAATATAATGTCAGACATTTACACCACTTCTCAGCCGGTTTTACCCCTTTGCTTAACAAGTTTCCAGTCAACATATGTGATAAGAGATGAAAGAAAGATGAGCTCTTTACGTCATATGATTATTGACCACATATATTTATACTGAGGTTTATATTCTATATAGTCGAAGTAGTATAGAAAAATTAAGTGATCCACATATACCTTTACTGTCCACATATCTATTCCATATCATTAAAAGAATATATGATTATAATTCACTATAACTCCTAAATACTAAACATTCCTTAATCCCTAGATACTAAATCTTATCACAATCTTTCTCTAATACCTAAAAACTAAATCTTAAATCTAAATATAAACCATAAACACAAATATAAACCTAAAATCCAAATAGAATGGAACAAAATAAATAACATATTACATATTGGTGAAATTATGAAAAGTATATGATTGCATGTAAGAAGATAATGATGACCCTAATCATACTCCCTCAAATCATAACTGCAATCTAAAGATCATCTTAACATATTTTTTTTAATGTTGATATGGCTATACCTTCATGAAAGGTGGTAATATTTACCATAATGTGAATCCCAATCGTACGTAAACTATTCCTTATCAACTAATCACTAACCCTACACAAAAATATAAACCCTAATCTAATGTCAACATCAATCTTCCATAAACTAAACTCTAGCCACTAATTACTAAATTCTACATGGAAATATAAACCATAATCGAAAGTCAACCTCAATCTTTCATAAGCTAAATCCAAATTTTGAAATGCAAGTTACATCTATTTCCATTCTATGTGAGTATATAAAATAGAAGATGTGACAAACGATATAGCATAGTACATATATATTGCTCAACTTTTGAAGTGTCTATGATTGCAGGGAAGTATGTATCGCTTACACCAAATTCAGATTGATTGTGGCGAAAAAAATGAAGATTAACGGCATTAGAGATATGAGGTCGAAGAGAAAACATCATATGAATGTCATTCTCATTCAACATCACCTTGTATTCTGTTTTATCTAATGACATAACAAATTCTATTCCATTTACGTTGAATATATTATTTCTTTTTAAAATAAAAATCATATATAGACTAATATAAACTACATATACCCCATACAAAACTCATATCAATAGAATATGAAACAACAACGAACAAGATTGAACCCTCTCTTTCAAACATTGAATGAAATATAGCTTACTAAATAGTATATTACATATTAATAAACATGACAAATAAGAGAAGAGACAACTTTGAAGCAAAGATAGTCTATTCCATTTCGTAAAATAGTATGGAAATACTTTTTACCCTTCCAACTCATCCATGATAAACCTGAAGAACAAAATGAAATGAAGACCCACATTAGTTTACAAGTTGGAAGGAAATTGAAGCATATGAGATAGACTATTAGTATATAAATTACTTTATGTTTAGGTTAAATGTTTAGTTATGTAAATCCCAAAAAAAAATCCGTAATTACTAAATCTAAACCCTAATCACTGATCTATAAACCCAAACATAATCTATATAATATGCTGTAAATATCTCATATTGTAGTATACATAGTATGGAACATTTGTAAATAGTATAGCATAAACAATTTATTCCATTTCTATTAGTTCTTATTATACTTAAATACTAAATCCCAAAAAAACCTACATATTCAATCTAAATCCTAATCATTGATCTATAAACCCAAATATAATCTATATAATATGATGCAAATTTCTCATTATGTACTAGATATAATATAAAACATCTATAAATAGAATAGAAGAGTCATTTTACTCCATTATAGTTCTTGAAATGCTTAAATACTAAAACGCAAGACAAACTTCTTATTACTAAATCTAAACCATAATCACTGATCTATAAACTCAAACAAAATCTATATAATATGTTGTAAATATCTCATACTTACTATACATAGGATGGAACATTTATAAATAGTATAGCATGGACAATTTACTCTATTTCTATTAGTTCTTATTGTGCTTAAATACTAAAACACAAAAAAACTACTTACTAAATCTAAACTCTAATCACTGATCTATAAACCCAAATAGGATCTATATAATATGATGCAAATTTCTCATTATGTACTACAAATAGTATGGAACATCTATAAATAGAATAGAAGAGTCATTTTACTCAATTATAGTTCTTGAAATGCTTAAATACTAAAACGCAAGACAAACTTCTTATTACTAAATCTAAACCATAATCACTGATCTATAAACTCAAACAGAATCTGTATAATATGTTGTAAATATCTCATACTTACTATACATAGAATGGAACATTTATAAATAGTATAGCATGAACAATTTACTCTATTTCTATTAGCTCTTATTGTGCTTAAATACTAAAACACAAAAAAAAGTACTTACTAAATCTAAACCCTAATCACTGATCTATAAACCCAAATAGGATCTATCATCTATATAATATGATGCAAATTTCTCATTATGTACTACAAATAGTATGGAACATCTATAAATAGAATAGAAGAGTCATTTTACTCCATTTTAGTTCTTGAAATGCTTAAATACTAAAACACAAGACAAACTTCTTATTACTAAATCTAAACCATAATCATTGATCTATAAACTCAAACAGAATATATATAATATGTTGTAAATATCTCATACTTACTATACATAGGATGGAACATTTATAAATAGTATAGCATGAACAATTTACTCTTTTTCTATTAGCTCTTATTGTGCATAAATACTAAAACACAAAAAACTACTTACTAGATCTAAACCCTAATCATTGATCTATAAACCCAAATAGGATCTATATAGTATGATGAAAATTTCTCATTATGTACTACATATAGTATGGAACATCTATAAATAGAATAGAAGAGTCATTTTACTCCATTATAGTTCTTGAAATGCTTAAATAATAAAACGCAAGACAAACTTCTTATTACTAAATCTAAATCATAATCACTGATCTATAAACTCAAACAGAATCTATATAATATGTTGTAAATATCTCATACTTACTATACATAGGATGGAACATTTATAAATAGTATAGCATAAACAATTTACTCTATTTCTATTAGCTCTTATTGTGCATAAATACTAAAACACAAAAAACTACTTACTAAATCTAAACCCTAATCAATGATCTATAAACACAAATAGGATCTATATAATATGATGCAAATTTCTCCTTATGTACTACATATAGTATGGAACATCTATAAATAGAATAGAATAATCATTTTACTCCATTTTAGTTCTTAAAATGCTTAAATACAAAAACGCAAGACAAACTTGTTATTACTAAATCGAAACCCTAATCACTGATAATATAACCTTTTTATATAGAAAATAACATTTTTATATTTGAATAGTACGATCGTTGATAAAGAATGGTAGCAGATAAGTTACAAATCATTCAATACAGTCTCAAGTAGAATAGTTTGTCAATCGATTTCATCTGAAATAGAATAGTTTAAATATATAGTTTTCTGTTCCATCTCAAATCAAATAGATATAAGAGATCTCACGCAGAAAAGTTGTATACAGATGTTATTCCATACAACAAACTATATTACTATACTATTTACTATGCATCTACCCTAAATGAAAAATTCAGATTTAACAACGATAAAGAACAACTGGGGAAACCCAAACCCTAAATCATGATAGATAGAACCAAATTTTAATAACAGATCTGTAAATTTAATCCGTACAATACATGATAAATTTACCAAAAATAGAATCCTAATTCCCAGTAACTACGAAATAGAAAATAAAATAACAGGAGATGAAGAGAAGGAAAGGTAAAAGCGGAAAACTTACGGTAGGTGAAAAGATCAGAGAAGAATCGACTTTGAGAAGTTGAAGAGATCTAACATGAATCTAAGCTGTGAAGTGGAATAGGCATGGGTTGTTACTATTTACCACTGTAACTTCCACGCCGTGGCCTGGCCAGCGATTTCAGAAGCGGAGAAGAGCATGGGGTTGAAAACTATGAAGGAGAAATCAAATAATCGCTCTGAATGTGGTGGAGGTGACGTTGTGGAGCAAATCGGTGCCGTAGACCTGTCAACTTCTACAAACTTGCCAATGGAAGTAAAAAAGAGAAGATGTGAAGATAGTTAAGCCACGCTTTACTTTTCTAGATATTAATTAGAATTTTTTTATTTTTATTTTTCTTCAAGTTTCACCCGTTGGGAAGAAGGGACAATACTGTATTATTATAGAAAGATAACGCCGTGTATATAAATGTTAGGAAAATTGGTTAGACAGTGAATTATGCTTTTTTTCATGGTCATACAGCCCAATTCCCCAAAAAAAATATAGTTGTCTTCGCACTCAGAACTAAAAGAACTTGTTTGGACAGTGGAAAATATGTTTAGTCATTTGACTTTCTGGAATTTTGAAACTGACCCTAAAGATTTGATTGCCAATGATTAAGGAAGCAAGTGTGTGGCCAAAATCTTATATAATAAAATTAGTATTTTTTTCCATAGAGCTTAAATTGCCATGTATCAATTCACTAAAGTTTAGGAAATTATTTATTCGGTCGAAAAAAATATATTATTTTAGAAAAAAATATAGTACTGGTAAAATACCTATTTGTTTTGGAGTTTTATTATTGTAGATTACGTTTAAACTTTCAGATTATAAAGATTCTTTAATATTATAAGTTTGTTCGTCATCTTCATTTGAGATCCTTAGATCAGCTGACGAGGATTGTAGATATCAGAATAAATTATCAACTCTCTGTAACGGTTCGACGCATGCTTAATTTACATCTTCTTTCCTCTTGTTTTATAAGTGATAAACCCACTCTAGATCATTGAAACCACCTTATCGCATTCCGAAAATAACTATGTAGAGGTGTGAGTATATATATCCATTTTGTAGACATAAACAACACAACTTCGACGAGCATTAGAAAAAAAGTTTGTTCAACTTTCCAATTGCTACAATGGTGAAAGTCAGGCGCGGCTCCAACACCACCGAAATTCACTTGCTGAGATTTTGGAAGGCAAGAAATGTGAGGAAAGGCACTGAGCTCATGAGTCTAGACATGCTCCTTATCGACGAGAATGTAAGCATCTTCTTTCGATTAACGCTGTTGACAATTGGTTCCATTATGGTTGTCTAAAACTAATAATTTGTCCTTTCTATCAGTCGACGGTTATAAGTTTTGTTAATGCGAACCGTCAATTCATGTTCAGGCAGCGTCTTAGTGAAGGCCAGTGTACAAGTTAAGCGGGTTTGATGTAGTGTGCAGCAACCCCAATTTCCGAATCTTATATGCCCCTTTCTCCATTCGGTTCAATAATGGAACCTCTTTAGTTAAGAAAACAACATTTATTAAACACATACCTACTGAAATTTTTAGATTCCCAACCTGGTCTAAAGTATAAATATGATATTTCTGAAATATTAAATTATATTAGACATTATGTGTTCATTACTAACTTTTAATTTTAGAAAATTAGCAGCTAACAAATACATTGAGATAAAACTTGATACCTAATTGTTAGCAAAAAAATAATGAAAACCTATAGCCAAAAACAATACATAACTAAAATGAAGACTTCAAGAACAATAAATGAAAAACATAAAATTATATATAATATATAAAACAATAATGAACAAGCGATAAAAACTTTTTCTTATGATAACAAGAGATCAAAGATTATTGTATATCTAAATAAATGTTATAAAAGAGAAATCTTATATTATGAATTCCCGAAAATCTTCAAGCATAAATTTAATATGGATATGAAAATTAAAAATAGACTATTTGTAAACACACAAAAAGAGACGCAATAAAAAATAAGATAAAAATAATCTTATAAATAAAACTATTATAATCTAAAATATGACAAATGCACCAAAAAATGTATAGTTTCAAAATAAAAATAGTCTTAGCCTCACTAAAGTATATCAATAATTTTATTATGAAATTAAGTTTTTTGCAACGAGGATAAGACCGAATATCAAAGCACGAAACAATTATAATAAAAACTGATACAAATAGTACTAAAATAAAATAATTCATATATTGATAAGAAAATATTTCAAAATAAAAAAAGTGTTAAAAAATATCTAATAAGAAAAAAAATTAATGCAAATCACGGATCAACTACTAGAGAAAAAATTAATTATTTATAGAACAAAAAATTTAAATAACTAAAAATAAATCTATAAAATATAGAAAATAAATTATTTATGTATTGGATTTAAATATTTTATGAATATTTTCCATATTTTATAATAAAAACATAACAAAAAAAATAAAAATAAAAAATAATTACATTAATTAAAAAATTTACAAGCATATGCTTTCTAATAAGAACAACAAAAATAAATATTGAAAATTAATTTTCAATTACCCATAAATTCTTTAAACATAATTAATTTAATTTTCGTGATTTTTAATTTGCTCACTAGGGCCTTAACCCTAATTCTCAATAAAGGTTAAGGATTTCATATTATCCCTCATGGGAGTAGGTTAAAAAAAAACAAACAAAATCTAGTGAGCTTGGGTTAGAAACACGAAGCCCAATAAGGGGAGAATACCAAAAACGAGTCAAAAAGGAATTTTAAAATAGAAAGAGAGTTGGGATGATAAAGATACAGTTGTTTCCTCTTCCATCAAAGGCAAGAAAATATGTTGTGGGATTACCTTCCAAATTCAATCCTTCCGCCAACAAAGACGATCCAGCCAAGAGACTCAAATACGCAGATTAATTAAAAGATCATAGCAAGCAACCAATCATCACCCCAAACCTGAAAAATCAGATTACAGACATTTGGCAAATCGCTTTTAGATTTTGTGAGAATAGTGTGTGTGTTTTGGGAATGGGGAAGGTAATGGTGATGTTGACGGCAGCGGCGGCGGTTGTGGCATGTTCGGTGGCGGGGGTGATGGTGAGGAGGAGGGTGAAAGATAGGAGGAAATGGAGGAAGGTGGTGGGGTTATTGAAGGATCTGGAGGAATCTTTTGAGACGCCGTTGGGGAGGTTGAGGCAGATGGTGGATGCTGTTGCTGTTGAGATGCAAGCTGGTTTGGTCTCTGAAGGAGGTTCTAAGCTTAAAATGCTCCTCACTTTTGTTGATGATCTTCCTAATGGGTGAGAGATGTCTTCTTTTTTTTACATGTGGCAATGTTTGTTGTTGTTGATTTTATGACATATATGATAGAGCAATGTGTGGAATATATATGACATACAAAGGATTGATTTTGATAAAATGGTTTGTTAGTTTTGTGGAGTCCAAGTTTTTTTTTTTTGTTGCTTGATTGTCACAATGTAATGTGCAACCTCCTTTGGCTTGTTGATTAGAGTTCTTAAAAGATATTCCTTTTAAGTTTGTTTTTTTGGGATATGGTGACATTATGGAGAAATATGTGGAAGATAAATAACATACAAATGATAAAAATGGATTTTAAGGTTTTTGTTGCTTGATTGTCATAATGTAAGTTATGTAATGTATGAACCCTTTTTATATCAGGAGTGAGAGAGGAACGTATTACGCACTCCATCTTGGAGGCTCTTACTTTAGGATTATAAAGGTTCATTTGGGTGGCCAAAGATCGACTCTTGAAGTTCAAGATATCGAAAGACATAGCATACCCACATCTTTGTTGAATAGTACCAGCGAGGTAACTATGCTTGCTTGCCCCAAGGTTGTTCTTTTCCAAGCTCGGTTTATTAAAATCCAACACAGAAGCTTGGTTTTGTTTTTGATTTTCAGGTTCTCTTCGACTTCCTAGCATCATCCTTGCAGAGGTTTATTGAAAAAGAAGGAAAGGAGTCTATTTCTTCACAAGATGTGAAAAGGGAACTTGCGTTTACTTTTTCTTTCCCTGTTAAACAAACGTCTCTATCTTCAGGAGTTCTCATCAAATGGACCAAAGGCTTTGCAATTAGTGAAATGGTTAGTTCAATTTTTTTCTGCAACCTTTTTTACCTGCCTGCCTGATAATGGTTAGTGTAAGGCTTTGTTATATCATCTCAATCTGTGAAGAAAGTAGGATAATTGTTGGATCAAATCATACCGTGTAACCATCAGTTTTGAGGATTATAACTTGCTGACCTATAATGTGATCCATCTTCTTGAGTTCGATTAAGCAATGTAATCACCGATGATGCCGTCAGTTGCACATTCAAAGTTGACAATTTTCCTAATGTTTCTTGACACATTGATCCTATTACTTTAGGCTGGGGAAGATATTGCTGAATGCCTACAAGGAGCGTTGGACAGGAGAGGGCTAGATATACACGTTGCAGCTCTTGTAAGTGCTTTGTTACTGCAATTGACTCATATCCTTGCGGAACTGCTTCTTCATCCATTACAAATCCTTTGAAATTTCTCCCTTCATATTCTGTTTACAAAATTCTTTCTAACAGAAGAAACATGTGAATTGGTTCTAATATTGGTTTGATTGTTTGAACAGGTGAATGATACAGTTGGGGCGCTGTCCTATGGACATTATCATGACCCAGACACGATTGCCGCTGTTGTCTTTGGAACAGGTAGTAATGCCTGTTACCTCGAACGCACTGATGCCATAATCAAGTGTCAGAATCCACGCACAACTTCTGGAAGCATGGTATTCATCATCCTAAGAAACCTGCATTTTAGCTTCTTAAGAGTTTAGTATTTAATATTTTCTTATATTGTTTGCTCTTTATGTGTTAGGTGGTGAACATGGAGTGGGGAAACTTTTGGTCATCTCGTCTGCCAAGAACTTTATACGACATTGAGTTGGATGCAGAGAGTTTAAATTCAAATGACATGGTAATGTTTTGCTAACTTCCCTTTTTGCGTTTAGTCATGTTTTCGAGGTTTATCACCTGGTAACTAGTGAGCAGTGAAGATGAACTAGTGGGTGTTTTTGTACAGGGATTTGAGAAGATGATAGGAGGGATGTATCTAGGCGACATTGTCCGCAGAGTAATTCTTCGTATGTCACAAGAGTCTGACATCTTTGGACCCATCTCATCCATTTTATCGACGCCTTTCGTTCTAAGGTACATTTCCTTTTGTATCTTCTTCTGTATATTATTAGTGCTAAAAATCTCAGGTAATGGCAGCTAATAGTTGTATTTTGCGTAGTGTAGTCATCCGAGTTCATCTATACATGTTTAAATGAAATATTTACTCCAATCACAGAACGAATTCAGTCTCAGCAATGCACGAAGATGACACACCAGAGTTACATGAAGTAGCAACAATCTTGAAACATTTAGGGGTAAACGTTTTTGCTCTATTCCACAAATGATCGAAAACAAATGGATGATTACCTACAATCCCATGACTTAACGACCATCTCATTTTGTTCATGTCAACAGGTACCGAAGGTACCACTGAAGGTGAGGAAACTTGTAGTGAAGATATGCGATGTAGTGACACGCAGAGCAGCTAGGCTAGCAGCAGCAGGAATCTCAGGAATCTTGAAGAAGGTGGGGAGAGATGGGAGCGGAGGAGAAGGAAGAAGAAGAAGTAGCGATAAGCAGATGAGAAGAACGGTAGTGGCAGTAGAAGGTGGTCTCTATTCGAATTATAAGATGTTTAGAGAATACATGGACGAAGCTTTGAGAGAGATATTGGGAGACGACGTGGCTCGACTTGTAGTGATTAAGGCCATGGAAGATGGCTCAAGCATCGGCTCTGCATTGTTGTTGGCTTCATCGCATAGTGTTCGAACCGTATCGAACATATAGAATTGAATAGTTGCGTAGATTAAAAATGTATATTCACTCGATTGTTTCGGACGCATTTAGGTAAATAGTTTTGTTTCTTGACTAATTTAATTAAGATTCAATAGAGAAATTTAACACAATAGTGATTGGTCCATACTTGAGATGCGCCCGGTGTTGAAGTCCTGATCAAAGCGCAGCCAGATCTTTGGTGATTAGCGACTCGTACAAACATGTACTCAAGTTTAGGCTTCACCGTTATTGAACTATTAAAGTTTTCGTATCTCGGGTCTAATTTAGGGGTTTAAGAGACGACTTATTCCGAGTAGTGGAGTGAGTTTGTTATCATTAGGTGAAAATACAATGAAGTTTCAATTCGAACAGCTTAAAATCCATGTGTTTCTAGGTGGTATTAAATCACTTTATTGTGAGTGTGGTTTAATACAATGAAGTTTCAATTCGAACAGCTTAAAATCCATGTGTTTCTAGGTGGTATTAAATCACTTTATTGTGTGTGTGGTTTAATTTCTGCAGACGTCAAAATCATGTAATCCCATTTAGGAAATGAAAGTTGTAATTAGAAAAAAAAAAAAAAACGATTTAAAATCTTGTTCACTACATGATAAAACCGAAAAGACATTAATTTCAGTACAAAAAAAACGATACGGACGGTACAAAAAAAACAGAAACTGCTGTTTCAGAAGCTATGTCTTTGTTACAGCTCGAAAAAGTAGCTGAAAGAAACGCACACTAGAGATATGACAAAACAAAGAGAAGCTTGAGGTTTGGATTACTCATCGCCTTGGCCATCTTCCTTCACCAGTTTGATCATGTCATCAATTCGCAGAATGGTAATGGCTGCCTCTGTTGCAAACTGTGGTTACAAAAACAAAAGCTCGTTTAAAGTTTTAGAACAATCTATTTGATGTGAGAAAACCCAAGTCAAATGCTTCACCTGCATGATTTTCACTTTGCTCATCGCTGGTTCGATCACTCCAGCTTCCAAATTGTTACGGATGGTTCCGTTAACAAGGTCAAGTCCCATGCTGCAATTTGCGTTTTCCCAACATAAAGCCAATGAGCTAAACAGTTTTTTCAAGCGAAACCCGACGACACAGATAGCAATATTTGCTTATTACCTTGAATAGTGCTTCTTATCAGCCTTGGTTTGTGCGGTGTGGTGGTATGCTCTTAGTTTAGCTACCAACTCGGTTGCATCCTTGGCAGCGTTTACTGCAAGCACCTGTAGACAAGATGATAATCGTCAGATAAGAGAACATGAGACAAATATTTTATATACATTTGATGAAATAGGATTGTAGGTCGCACCTTTGGTATAACCAATAAAGCATCTGCAAATTCAGCAATTGCCAATTGTTCGCGAGAGCCCAAGGTTGTAGCAAGGTGCTCCAGATACACAGACAACGCAGATTCTACTGCACCTCCACCTGCAACCACCTGTTTTGACACGAAGCAGAGTGTTGCCTCAAACCAGCAATGTGATAATCGTCACCAAATGCAACGAATGTCTCTAACAAATTGCAAAAGGATATTACCGTGTTGGACTCAAGGGTCCTCTTGACAATACATAAAGCATCGTGCAATGCTCTCTCCATCTCATCAAGCATGTAGTCATTTGCACCTCTCAAGATCAAGGAGACCTAACAGACAAAAAGATTACGAAGTCATTACAAAGCTAGACTAAGCTCTGATAACTTTAAATAACTTTTGGGAATGAGTTTATATAAAATATATGATTGATTTTATGTGATTAGCGTCAACGATTAAGCATGATCTCAATCAGAGAGTAAATGGCATACCGCACTGCTAGTTTTGGTTCCCTTTATCAGTACAACATCATCATCTGCGATTCTCTCCTCCACAACTTCGTCTGCAGATCCAAGGTGTGCCGGATCAAATGTTTCTTCCCCCTCCATGTCAGCGAAAGTGGTGACCTAAAACAAAGAGCAAAGATATTAGTTAAAACTTTAACTTTCACAATCACGTTTTAGTTTTTGCAACTTAATTCTACTGCTTTTTAATATTGAAAAGTAAAGTAAAGTTGAGGAAGCACCAGGGTTGCTCCTGTTGCCTTAGCAACATGGCGCATGTCTTCTTTGCGGACACGCCTAACAGCAATAGCTCCTGCCTCTACAAAGTACTGAAATAAATGCAAACGAAATGAGTATTCAATGATTCAAATTAACTTTGATGAACCGAAAGTACTGAGTAATGAGAAAGGGTAGAGATTCTTACTTTAAGTGCCATATCGTCAATTCCCTTTGTGGTCAGAATAACATTGGCCCCAGCCTTAAGAAGTTTCTCTATCCGCTCCTTGGTCATGTCAGCTTCTCTGTAAAACACATATCCAGTAACATATTTTTATAAATAAACACTGTATGGAAGATGGATGACATAAGCAGTACAAGCGTCTTATAGAGCTAGATATCTCAAGGTTTCTACATCCCGTACACTACTTAAGGAACAAGAGCATTTGTAAAAGAAAAAAGAAAGTACTCTGGATGTTAATGAAATTCAGTAAAAGTTACCTTTGACGGATTTTTTCAAGTTCTCGTGGATCGTTAACAACAACTTGGACACCCAGCTGCATTTTCGTCTTCTGAAGATTGAAGTCGAGGCAAGCAATCTTCGCCGGAGAAACTCGTAATGGCATCCCTTGGGCAGCACGGCCGGTATTGAGTGCATATCCATTCAACAAATAGCTGTCTTTTGCACTTTGTCCATGGGCTTTCAGAATATTAATCCCCTACGATGTAGTAAGCAGAAGAGTTTAAACATAAAAATCTCATTCTCATTCTAGAAGCTATGTCTAAGACTTTGACAGAGGAGCATAAACAGACCTTAATAGGGTATTTAATCTCCCCTCGCTGATTTGTCATCTTAACTGACAGAACTGCATCCACAACCTTGAAAAGAAAAATGTGATTATAACAGTTGCAGCATCCAAACCTTAAAAAGAAAATATATGAAAGACTTATGTAGAATAGAGTCTCTCCAGATAAAACCGAGAGTAAACTTGTAATCAATAACACTAATGGTTTAATAACAAGGCTGCAGTTCCACGTGGAAGCATACCAAATTGGCAAAGAAGTCGCTGTCACCAGAGATCAGTTTGGAGGACATGCTGGTTTTAGCACAGTTAATCAATGGAACTTTCCCAAGCTTTTCGACCTGTAGAAAACCAAATGAAGTAGTTAATTAAAAGGGCAGAGACAGACACTATAGAGAACTTATCCAATCATGCTGACACCAACATACGTATAAAAGTTTCCTCACTTGCTCTTATACACATTAAGAAAGAACAAAAAAAATATCAGAGGCGAAAATATAAACCACCACAAAAAGAGACTAACCTTAGTGACCAGTTTCTCTTCAATGTATTTGCAAGCTTCCCTCATCGCTAGCTGCCAACAGTAACACAGATTATGAACAGAACTGAACACCAATCTGTAAAGCAGATCACTACATAAGATAAAATAAAGTCGCAGCATACCCTGTAACCACTGATAATGGATGTAGGATGGATTTTGTTCCTGACAAGATCATTAGCTCTCTGCAAATACATACGAAAGGACCATTAGTCATCACGAAGCAGTTAACATGTGACAAAACTAAATAGAAAACAAGAAAAGAAAAAAACCTTGAGCAACTCAGCAGCAACAATAACAACAGAAGTAGTCCCATCACCAACTTCTCTATCCTGGAGTTCAGCTAACTCAACCAGAACCTTAGCAGCAGGGTGTTCCACCTCCAACATCCTAAGGATAGTAGCTCCGTCATTTGTAATGGTCACATCACCAATATCATCCACCAACATCTGATACATTAAATGCAAATCAGACACCAATACAATAAATCTCAAAAAGTGACAAAGCAGAAGAAACAGAGTTACGTTACCTTGTCGAGTCCCACAGGACCAAGGGAGGTTTTAACAATGTTGGAAACAGCTTGACAAGCCATCACTGCACACATATAAATCAAATCCAATCCAAACAGGAGTTAGATACAACAATAAAGAACCCTAGAGAGAGAGAGATCGAACACCACCGATGTGAGAATGAAATCATACGATATAACGAAAGAGAGGGAGGGAATAAGAAGAGTACCGTTCTGAGTACGGACATCTTGGCCGGATTGCCTCTCGCCGGAAATATCGGGATTTTGAGCAGAGATCGACATATCAAGTTTAAGCGATGAAGACGAGGGAGAAACAGATCTGAGCTCCCGAAGTAAGAGAGAGAGACTGTTCGCCTTTTATAAAACAAACAATGGGAAAATGCTTCTCTGGAGATGGGCACAGTGAGAGACTCCGGCGGGTTTTTATTAACCTTCAAGGTTTCTTTCTAGGATGTGCGGCCAGGTTTTCAACAAAGTGACGTCGTTTTGTTAATTGGGCTGAAAGCTCGTATATATTTAAGCCCATTTTTCATATTAGGTCAAAATATGGGCTTGTGAGGATTAAAGGACCATGTAATTTGTTTGAACTTCCATCATTATATGAAACAAAAAGTTTTTGATTTGGTTTGAATAATCCCTTATATATTAATTGATCAACATTTGAAAAGATGTAACCTCAATTTCGTATTAATTAAAAGAGGCTCCAATGCATAGGTGTCATTCAATTAGGTAGTCAATTATATTCAATTGAAAAATAAGTAAGTCCACATTGGATTTTTATAGGTTGCTAGTAGGGGTGGGACGGATCGGATATCCGGGGTATTTTGGGATATCCGGATCCGGATCCGGATTCGGTGGATCCGTAAAATTGATATCCGGATCCGGATTCGGACCTTCCGGATATCCGGGATTCGGATATCCGGACTAAAACTCGAATACCCGCGGATATCCGGATCCGTTTTTTAAAAAAAAAAAATTAAAAAAATCAAAATTAAAATTAAAATTTTAAAATTAAACATATATTTATTCAATTAAAAATTTATTTTTTTGCAAAAAATTTTAAAAAGCTAATAAAAAATTAATAAAACTAAGTTTTAGTTATTTTAATAAAAATTATATATAATATATCTATATAAATTTAATTATATTTTAAATATTTTAAAAATATTTAGTGGGCCCGGATCCGGATATCCGGACTAAAATTTTCACTATCCGGTTTCGGATCCGGATCCGCAAAATCACTATCCGGATCCGGATCCGGACCCCCCGGATATCCGTTTTTTCGGAGCGGATCGGGACGGATCCCGGATCGGATAGCGGATAGCGGATATTAAGTCCCAGCCCTAGTTGCTAGATACATTAGTTAGTCAAACTATATGATCTAATGATATGATATGCTATTTTCTTTCCATAAATAAAACCTACGGAATTACCATAAATGACTAATATATATATATGACACTTAATGATTGTTCCCTAAGATATAATTACTATTTTATTTTATTTCCATAAATAAAACCTACGGAATTACCATAAATAACTAATATATATATATATATATATATATATATATATATGACACTTAATGATTCTAATAATAAATATTTGATAACAATTTATATATACTCCATCATTTTTCTTTAATTTTATATTATTAAAATAAATTAAACAATCAAATTAGCTATAAAATTAAACTTTAGATTTTTTTCGTATAGGTTATATTTTGAATTTTAAGAAACGAGAATAAATAACTAAACTATTAAACTTATTATGTTAAAAATTAATGATCAATAGTTTAACATTTTACTATAAAAAGATATACATGATTTTAAAACCATGCATATAAGTAAAAAATATCATTCAATAATAAAACAAATATATATATACAGATTAAACTATATACCATATAAGATTACATAAATATTTTAATTTCAAAATTTTCAATAAATTTTCAAGAACATTTATAAATTATAAACTTATTAAATTTTTCACATTGAAATTTTTTGTTATCAATGATTTAAATATCTTAGTTCTTTTTAATTTTATATTTTTAAAAAATATTAACAATCGATAATATGGTTATTTTTGGTATATACCATACAAACCGAATAGATGTGATTTTATAAGAACCATAGGATTTGGATATGGTTTAATTTATAATCGATTAAACTGAAACATGTAAATATGTATATATTTATAACGACGTATGAATATCTATTTGTTACATAAGTTGAACTATAATTATAATTTGTAAATAGCTAACAATTTATTACAACTAAGACTTCTTATTTTGATCTTTTGCTTTTTTAACAGTAACTAAATTGAAGTAAAGATTATAAATTTGATGGACAACAATTAGATGAAATTCTTTACAACTTTTTTTTTTTATCTTTAAACAAACAGAGTTGTGTTCAATCGAAGACATATTGGTTTGATGAACACTAAATATGGAAGAATATAAAAACTTTTCTTTCATGCTTCTGTTTTGTTTTTTATTTTTATTTTCAAAATTTAGTGTTTTGATATTAATTCTAGATTTGATCATTTTATTAGATGATAGAAGCTTTTTTTTTTATTCTTTTATTTAAATATATAATATTTTTTTAATAAATGATTTTGTGACAATATGACTCTAAATATGATCATATTATATATTTGTATAATATATAATATGATCTCAAACTAAATAATTATGTTTTTTGGTATAAAATTAAATAAACTGAAAACCGATGGTATATAAAACAAATCAAACTGAAGTACATATAGATTTAGAATAGTAGTTATATTTTAATGATCGAAATACCAAAAAATCGAGCCGAACCGAAACTCGATATCCGGATTGAACACCTCTAATCCGAATGAAACCGAACTATTGTTTCATTTTCAAAAACATAATAAAAATAATAGTTTCATCCCGCGCAAGGCGCGGGTCTTATCCTAGTTTGTATTATTATTGGGTTTGTATGGAACATATTATTGGTTTTGACTGAAAGTACTGAGATTGTAACTGCAAAAAGAAGAGTTTTTGATTGCTAAGATTGATCGGCACGAGTTGGGATTACAAAGTAAAACAAGAAACATGATCATTCCAATGCGAGTGACACTTTTGCATCAAGTTACAGAGAGGCTTTTTCAGAATCATGCGTTTAAAGGTTTGTAGAGCTTCTCCACCATCTTCCTATACTCTGTACATGTCAACAAGCATAAGAAGACCATTCATTACTGATGATAAAAGAAATGGAGAAAACTAGACGTGTGTTTGTTAATTAATCTGATTATCTGTTACTGCAAATTACCTTCTTGGTTGCTCCAAAGCTGAGCTGCTTGATTGTTCAATGGGGAGCTAGTGTTCGGTTCTGATGTACCAAAACAATAAAACAAATCAGATACTGGATCAAAGCAATTAAGAAAACTCAGTCAGTTGGTGGTTCTTATATTGTTTTTACCTCCAAGAAGGCTTTGAATTGAAAGCAATATCGTCCTCACATCGTAAGCGGATGACCATTTATCCTACAAACAATGTGAAGACAGTTTTGTTTTAAGTACTACTTCTTTGATGTATGAGATTAACCAGCAGCACACAAGTCGGCGCAGGAGTAAAATGATTAGTTATGTACCTGAAGAATGTCCAAGCAAATATTGCCATAGAGATCAACGTTGGGGTGGAAGCAGCAAGTCTCAAACTTGACTTTTGGAGGTTTGAAAGGATAGTCATTGGAGAAAGAGAGTGAGAGTCTGTACTCAGTTCCTTCAAAAACAGTATCTTTGCTTCCTGTGATAGTTCCTTTCCAGCAGAATATGTTGTCTTCCTCTGGGAAAGCTGATATCCCCGGATCACCTCCCATCTAAAAAAAATCAAATCAAGAGACCATACATTTATAAGCAGATTCAGTTTTGATTATTTGCACAGAAAAGTAAAGGACGGATTAGCTTACCATTAGACCCATTAGTTCAGATTGCAGCCTGCGTATTAAAGGGATAACAATAGATTAGGAAAAATCATGAATTTACTTAACCAATAAAGAATACAGTTTAATGCATCGTTTTCTCTCAGAGGAATTCTATCAAACAGTTGGTAGGCAACAAGGGGGTGAAACAATAAGATCCATAAAAGAAAAAGAGAAGTCACAATCAATGTTTGGGTCCATCGTCTCTCTAAACATAATCTAGAAAAATATGCACGGCCACAAGAATTGGATATGCGAATCTAACTCTACCTACAGAAACATGAAATCGATAAACAAATAAAAATCAAATCTAACAAATTCAAAGAAATTCCCTTTAATCGGAGGCGGAATATTCTAAGATCTGGAAAAAAGGAGGAACCTTTTGAGAACGGATTGGCTATCGACGGTCTTAGTCGGAGGAGCAGGTTGCTTCGATCCGGTGGCTGCCGGTGTTGTCTCCGCCGGAGTATTTCCTTGGTACCCATTCACAGCCGCCATCCTTTTCCGCTTGTAATTGACAGACTACGCGACGATCAAAAAATTTATGGAGATGGAAATGGTTTCGATCAAAACGGATTCAGGAATGATCGAAGTAGAAGAAGGGTACGAGAGAGATGAATAAGAAAGAGCGTTCTTTTACTTTTTCTTTCTCCGGAGAGAGAAAGAGTCTTTTTTATAACAAACGTGTAAGAGAAGAAACGACGTCGTTGCGATAGCAACAACCCAATAAGGAATGATCTTCTTTTTATTTTCCCCCTTTTCAGAATATCGAAGAGAGCGGCTTTTTGGTGCATTTTGAAATAAAACCCACCTACTTATATGTAACGGCTACTTTACAGAAAAAACATTTGAATGTATTATTATGTGGATTGTTTTGTTAGCTTTTCTTTATATTGGTAATAATAACTAGTGTGAATCGATTTGATATTATCATGTTTTTCTTTAAGATCGATGATGGTCCATCATAAAGCATTTGCATCACAAAAGGTACTGCATTGCGTTTTCTTTATACTACTTTTCGTTTGTTCCTTAGGCATATCGTTTCTTCATATAAAAAGTAGCTTAAACAGGACAACACAAAAGGCGGTGAGGTTAAATTGGAAGAGGCTGCTAGAGAAGGCTCTGACTATGGCTCTCGAACCATAAAACCCTTTGGTTTCAATTAATCTGGAGATAGTTAGTACCTAGTTCGTACAAGGTTCTTGATGATGGGTTAGAGTAACAAGAGAGCTTATGCTTTCAGACCGTAGAGCATGTACATAAATGAACTCTCTCTTAGGGTTCAAGTTTTAATTTTTTTATTATTAAATTTTTTTCTTTTTCTTTTCGATTTTTTTTTAAAAAAAACAGACCAATCGCGGGCTGCCACGTGTCGTGGGGCCCGAGCTACAGTGATAAACTCCCCACATAAAAGTTCACGGGAGAGAGCTCCAGAGGGGCAGGTTCATCACAAGGGGTTATTTTAATATTTTTTTTGTTGGGAAGCGGGTGAACTTTTGTGATGAACATTTGATGTATATGCTCTTATGTTCTTCTCTTTCATAGACCTTGAGTATAATGATATTAGAGCAAGATACGTTTGTGCCATTACATGTTTGACTAGAGTAGATAATGTGTTTGGTGACTGATTAATTAGTAGCATTGTGGAACTCAATTTTTTACCCTGCTGACTTCTATAGATACATGATAACTTCCCTAGCATTTTGACCTATTGAGAAACATCAAACTAAGAAGTCATCAAAGAATATAAGAGAGTTAGATGTATAGACCGATCAGTCCCGGGGCTTAATGATCGAGAGGCCCTTTCAAAGAAGATACAAGTCATTTTTGTTCTAAACTTTACCATATCTCACATCCATTTGGCGCAACTCTTTCAAATGTCTCCAGCGACTCAGCCTTGTAGAGCAGCTCAGCTTCATCACCAGTTGAGCTATTTACCAAAGTCAAGGTAAATGATAAACCTGTCATGGTAAAAAAAACCATGGAGAAAAGATTCAAGACCGGTGCTTTTCTGGTGGGCTGATGATCTAAGCTGTTGGGTGGTTCATATGAGGAATTAAGTAAATGACAAGAAATCATATGTTTCCATAATTCAAAATATTTAAGAGACCTGATTAGATTGATTATTTATATATCCAAACCATCAAAAATTTACAAATTATCTGCAATCCAAATATTCTAATTATCTAAACAAACAAAAATTTGGTTAGATTTTAAGGATAACAAGATTTTGACATGCACAACCGTGCAGATGATTAGTTTCATTTTATACAAGTATTAGATTTTGATTAGTGGTATATAATTTTAATATTTTCCATATTACTAGTTTAATATAATATTTTCAAACAACAATTTCATAGTTTGCATACAGTAATTTAATTTATTGTTTCAAATTATTAGTGATACATTTCTAACTAAAACATGAACACTAACTAAAACCTCACATTATGTGATATTTAAAAAAAAAGTGTTCTATTTAATATTAACTTAGATAGTAATTTCTTTACGATTGTACTTGTATTTTAGGTTTTAGTCATACATATCTGTTAACCGAATTATTTGTATGAATTAAATCTTTAACTGAATAATCTATATTAAGTGTATTCTATAAAACGTCTGCTTCATTTAACTTATTAACCAAAAGTTGTCATGCATTGTGTTTGTTTTTGTCCTTTTAAACCTAAATTTTTCTTTATTATTTATGTTTTTTAGGTTTTTATATTGTCTATTGTTAATTTAGACCCCCAAAATTTTTGGATTATTTACAATGAATTATTCAATGTTAAAACTTTTATTTGCAATTCTTTATCTATCATACACCAAGTTATGTATTTAACACTTAAACCTATAAATACATTTGATAATAAACACTCTACAAATAAAAATATTCACATGAATGATATTATTCAATCATTCATGTGTCATTTTTGTTAATAACATTAATTAGTAAAATACCTATTGCATTTTCAAAATGGCACAAGATAAAAGAAACAAAAACAATTACATTAATGAATAATATATGAAAATGGTCTATATAAAATGAGCTTGATTATTTTTTTGTAAAACAAAATAGTCATATACTCCTATTATTGAAATATAAAATTAAACATGTTACTATGTTTAATAACATAAAATAAATACTTTTTCAATAGACCGGTCATTCATATTGATAACATATTTTCAACACTGCGGTACAAAATTATGAATTAACAAATCTTATATTTTTGTGATCAAAAATTTTGATTGAAAAATCTTAGTTAAATTAATTTAAAAATTCAATACAAAATAATACATGAGTTTAGTATAATTACATAATTAATTAGATACTTAAAAGGTTTATTTTAGTAAAAATGAAATATACATTTATATTTCAAATAATTATGAAATTAATTAAATATTTAAAAGGTTTGTTTAAATGAAAAACGAAATATATATATTTATATTTAAAAACGAAAGTAATTACATATTTTAAAAATGTTTGTTTTAATGAAAAATGAAATATATTTTTATATTGTAAATAAAAAATACATGAAAAGATTTTGTTTAGATGTAATTCAGAGAAAATATAGTAATATCTATTTGACTTTCTTAGAATTATTAAAATATTTCAATTATGTATACCAAAAATCATTTAAGTAATTTTCAAAGGAATTGTCCATTTCTTTAAAATCACACATGAATCAAGGTTTTAACTTCTATTTTAATATATAAGATTTGATATACTCTATTTGTAGGTTGAAATTTGAAAATTATACCTTCTATTTTTTTTTTGGAAACTACATTTTATTGCAATGTTTGAAAGTTACATTTTATCACGATATTCGAAAACCTCCGATTTTATTTTTTTGGAACTACACTTTATTTTTGAAAACTATACTTTATGTTTAAAATAAATATACTATTTAAATTTTAAAATAACAATGAACAAATATGATGTGTTTCTGACTTTATCACAAATTTTATCTATATAATGTTTTTAAATAAAATTTATATAACAAAGTTGCACAACAATACAACCAAAATCATGTTATTCTCTACATACATATTTATACTTAGAAATACCACTGATAGTGAATATATACCAGATAATGAGAGATCCAACTGTGTGGGAACACCCGTTTATGTTTGTGTCATAGAGCTTTCTTAAAGCATTGAAGGAGGCGTAAACATGGAAGAGCACCTTGAAGGAACCATATACAGTAATGAAATACCTTCCTTTCTGAAGTGGACGACGTCTGTGCCTAGGTGCAATACTTGGTACCGTTGTAGTGGTAACTGCAGTCAGGGCAGGTTCATACCCATCAAAGGCCCCATACCAATTTAAAAATGGGCCTTTTTCATTTGTAATTTTTTTTTTTACATTTAAGCCTAAAATGGCTACAAAATTTTTTGGACCCTAAACAATGGTTTCTTTTGCTTGTGCTTTGGACCGGGCCTGACTACAGTAGTTGTTATGTACATGACATTGATTAAAACATTGAAGGAGGCGTCCACATGGAAGAGCACCTCCAAGGAACCATCCTTACTTTTAAAATAGGATTTTCTAAGCTAATCATGCATGACTCATCTTCTTAAGTTCACTCGTGTTACTCAATATTTTTTTGTACCTTACATATGTGATGGATGTGTTGTTGGCAGTTTATGAAAGCAAACGTGATGAATACAAGATCATTAAGAATCAAATGACACCCTTTAATTATCATTTCAAAGTTGAGTTAACTAATTAAACTGATAAAAATATTTGTCAATTTGTTAAGCAAAAATAAAGTAAACCAAAAGGAAAACTATAAAAAAACACAGAAAAATAATAAAATCATGACTTAAGAAATTCATATATATATTAACATATGAAAAACATCAAATCAAGAGACCATGCATTTATAAGCAGATTCTTGTTTTCTTTAACAACTATTTTTATTTATTAATAAAAAATACAAACAATATCCACCAATACATTGCAAAACATAATTAATCTGAAATAACAATAACACATATAAAAAACTGACGATACTTCTCTAAAAAGAGGTCTTGTTATCTGGTCTTCAAACAGATTAACCTTATCAGTTTGCTTCTGCATATTCACCATTGATCCCATACGATTTCCATGTATGGTTATCTACTCTATTAAAATAGAGTTACTATTTTTATCTACTACAAATAAGTCATATAGAACAATTTCATTAATTACTTAGTATGACATATTAAATTATTTAGGTAAATCAATCAAATATATATCATATGTTGAAAATAATAAATTTATATTTTATTTTTAGTTATAACAGAATCGGTTGAAAGAAAATCTAACAAAATCTTGCTAAACGTTTAAATATTTTTTTATTAAATAACATAATAATAAATTTCGTAATTAATAATATCATACTATTATACATTAATATTAATTAAAATTTCACTATAATAACAAAAAAAAAATCCTATACTATTTTATAAATTTCATATTATAGTCTATGTTATATTAAAATAGAATTGCACTATGAATAAAATAAAATAAATAAAGTTGGTAAATGAAACTTTATTTTAAAATTTATTTCACTCAAATAAAAAAAATTATTCACCATTAAAAAGATTAACATAATAAATTATGTATATTTTATACAAAAATGTTAGCATAATGTTAAATTTTTACTATATCTTATTTTTCACTTAATTTAAAACTCACAAAAACATATTATCTAAAATGATTATATAAAAAATATAATAGTATATAACTAAATTTTAGTTCATGTGTTATTTAAAAAAGATAGGATATCAGAAGATATTAGTGAAAAATATTTTAACTGAAAATTTAATATTTTATTATAAAATAATATGTTGAGAAAATATAAAAATATAAAAAACATTTTATGTTAATAATGTTAAATAACAAAGTAAAAAATTAAAAAATATTATATATTAATAATGTTGAATAAAAACCTATACCAATTAGATTATAAATTTACACAGTATATAACATAAAAATATAAATTATATATGTTAAAAAATTTACATTAGTATTAAATAAATTTTTAAAAATGAAAAATATACCCGCACGAACGTGCGGGTAAAAACTCTAGTTGTCCATAATATAAAAGAAACCTCAAATCGTAATATAATCACTACAAATATCAAATATTTTTGTTGTATAACATTGGCCAACTCTAAATTCAGACCTAAAAATATCTTTTCAAAAAAGAATCCAATGTTTTGATTTTTTTGAAAAGTACAAAAATTGAAATTACCAATTCTCAACAACTATACAACATCTCCATACTACAAAAAGAATACAGTTTTGAATTGTTGTCTTGTCATCTTCTAAATCATCATAAATTTGCTCTGACAGATGAAAGCACGATTAAGATATTGTCTCACAAGTTTAGGATAGATTTTTCCAAAATCTGATTCAAAAACCATACAGATTGGTTATCGATCGTGGGTATAAAGACCACGTCGAGATAAAAGATGCATAGTGGATGCAAACCGTGCAACATCTCACATGGATCAAAGATTTAGCATTTCAGAATAGATATAGAATGATCCATTTACAAAATGAATCAACACAAATCTCTAGAATCATCAATATTGGTTTGAGAATCAACCAAAGAAACATTGATGTATTCTTCATTGAACAATGTGAAGAAACAAAAAGTAATAGGCAAAAATGGTTCGTACAGTGTTGTTGGTACAGACTCCCTCATTCTCTATCTTCCTCCTTATCGCTTAAGGCTTTAAGCCTTCTTTAAATGACGAAAATGGTAGAAAAGCAGTGAAAAAAGAATGAATTGAGGCAGAAGAAAGTCATCGCCTTTCTGATTTTAGAGAGAACTAAAACGGTTTCCATGTGAGAGGATAGTTAGTTATAAGCAGATTCTTTTTTTTTCGGCAAACAAACAAATTTCATTATTTTCAAATCGTGATTACAAAAACATTATAGAATCACTGGAAACAAATTAGAACAAACACAGATGTATGCTTTTACGATGAAGAAAAATACAGCAGAAGGAAGTTGACCATACTTTCCGAGGAGTAGTCTTATACGCTAACAGATTATATGATCTGCTATTGTCCAACTTCATATTTGGTCTTCTTCTGATATGATTTAAATGCAGTTTCAGGATGATTTTTTTTTTCACAAACTAAATCTGCAACGCCAATGTTTCCAAATGAAACTCCAAAAAATAAAAACATTATAATACCAACCATTCCGTACCAAGATCCTATTAAGAAATTGTAGCATTGTAATCTTCCAGAAATGATACTCTTCGGAAAAGTATTTATCCAAAGGTTGATACCACTGCAAACACTTTTTGATGTCTAAAGAGTAATACGACATCATCACCAAAACTGCATTATTTCCATGGCTGATTTACAAGAGTACTAGCCGCATCTTGAAAATCTTGTAACGATTCCAGACCGTACACCCTTTCTACCATATCCTCTGCCTGTATTCTACGTTTTCTAATCTTGAGGAGTCTTTCTCTTACGTTTTCGTCCACTTCGATCTTTGTAGCTGTGAGTATCTCCCAGTTGGATTCCCTCTTTTAGTTTTTTTGTCAACTTCTTTGGGAAGTGCCTTGTATGTACCATTCAATTACTAAGCACTTTTGTTTTGCAGGAAACAAGAAAGGATAGAGAACACTCTCCATAACCAGTCCATTATTCCTATACTAACTATAGTCAATCACGTTCAGTAGACAGGAAGGCTCTAACATTTTTTTATTTTTTTGCTAAGAATGTAAATATCATTACAATGAATGAAGGTTTGGTTACAATTGTGATTGAACCAGAATCTGCTTATAAAGCCATTATGTTCTTAAGGGCCGCAAAAAAAGATAAAAACCCATAAGAAACCAAGATTAAGACCAAAGCAACCCCATGAGGTAAGCCATGAGCTTAATAAATGATACTAGGACAAGAGACAACATATAATTTCCCAAACATAACACTTCTCGATCACCGGAAGGGACCAAGAGAATAGCTATATATAGGCCGTTCAGACCAATGACATGCAAAGTAGAGAAGCAACAGCCATTAAAAGTTGCATCGTACTATGTTTTTACTACATGCACAAGATTCCATACGCATGTAACGGGAAAATTAACCAGTAATATATATATATATAGGCGTACATGCATGATTGAAGTGACTTCAAAACACTTGCAAGACTCCAATTTTGTCGGCAAATAATAAACAACATAAAAAGAAACACAATTATTATATGACTCCAAATCGAAACTGTACCAACTTCTGAGCCAAAAGAATACATATATTCAAGTATCCATTATTTCCACGTGCTTCAATAAATAACAAACTGTATTAAGCATGGCCGTACATTAGATTCAAGACTCTCTTGATAAGGAAAATTAAAATATAGTTGCTCTTCTTCGGTTTTGAGCAACAAGGGAGGGAAGCACCAACTATGGACGTTGAATTTCAAAACCCCTCCATTTTCGTCCTCCTATGCCTCTTGTCACTTCTCTATTACTCTCTCTACTTCAGGAACCTAAAGGGTTTTGATCTTCCTCCAAGCCCTCCCTCTCTTCCCATCATTGGTCATCTTCATCTTCTACTCTCTCTTCTAATCCACAAGTCCTTTCAGAAACTTTCCTCCAAGTACGGACCATTCCTCTACCTCCGCATCTTCAACGTTCCCATAGTCCTCGTCTCCTCATCCTCATTAGCCTCCGAGATCTTCAAGACTCATGACATGAACGTTTCTTACCGTGGTCTCCCTCCGCTTGATGAGTCACTCTTGTTCGGATCTTCCACTTTCCTCATGGCTCCTCATGGAGATTACTTGAAGTTTATGAAGAAGCTCCTCGTCACAAACCTACTCGGATCTCAAGCACTCGAGCGTTCACGAGCCATCCGTGCAGAGGAGCTAGAGCGGTTTTATGCTAACCTGCTTGGTAAGGCAATGAACAAGGAGATGGTTGATATAGGCAAGGAAGCAATGAGCCTCAGTAACAACATCATCTTCAAGATGCTTATGGGGAGGACTTGTTGTCCCGGTGAGGCAGAGAGAGCAAGAGGTCTCGTTGTCGAGTCATTTGCCTTGTTTAAGAAGATTTTCTTGGCAACATTGCTCCACAAGCCGCTCAAGAAGTTGAGAATCTCACTGTTCAAGAAGGATATAATGAGTGTTTCCGACAGATTTGGCGAGTTGCTTGAGAGGGTTCTAGTGAAACATGAAAAAGAGAAGCCGAGTGAGCATCAAAGTGCAGACATGATGGACGTATTGTTGGAAGCTTTTCGAGATGAAAATGCTGAGTATAAGATCACTAGGAACCATATTAAGACTTTTTTCATTGCAAGTGTTCTTCCCCTTATTAAGAATTCAAAGTCATTATCTTGACTAAGAAGTGTTTTTTTTTGTTTTAACATATGCAGGAACTTCTCATTGCAGGCACTGATAGTATGGGGCAAACTACACAGTGGGCAATGGCTGAGCTGATGAACAACCCCAACATTCTTGAGAGACTGAGAAAAGAAATTGAATCAGTTGTAGGGAAAACAAGTTTGATTCAAGAAACAGACTTAACAAGCCTTCCTTATCTGCAAGCAGTGGTCAAAGAAGTGCTTAGACTGCACCCACCAGCTCCACTCTTTGCAAGGACCTCCAGAGAGGAGTGTAGAATCAGAGGCTTCTACATACCAGAGAACACAACACTTTTGGTTAATGCTTATGCTGTGATGAGGGATCCTGATTCCTGGGAAGATCCCAATGAGTTCAAGCCAGAGAGGTTTCTAGCTTCTTTAGGAACCGGGGAAGAGGATGAGAGAAGAGAGCAAGCACACAAGTACATTCCTTTCGGGAGTGGAAGGAGAGGCTGTCCTGGAGCAAATCTAGCATACATCTTTGTAGGAACTGCAGTTGGGATGATGGTCCAGTGCTTTGACTGGAAAATCAAAGGGGGTAAGGTTAATTTAGGAGAGGCTGCTAGAGAACTGAACTTGACTATGGCTTGTCCCCTCAAATGCACTCCTGTAGCTCGAACCATAAAACACTTTGGCTTCAGATAACCAGCAGATGGTACCTGGTTCGTGGGTTCTTGATGATGGGTTAGAGTAACAAGGAAGCCTCTGCTTTCAGATCATATGCTCATATCTTTTGAGAGACCTCTTGAGTAGAAATGGTATGAGAGCAAGAAAGGTTTGTGTCTTTACATGTTTGTCTGGAGTAGATAATGTTTGGCGCTCAGTTTACCTTTCTGGTTCTCAAATAAAAACATCCAAAATTCCAAGAATGCCAAGGAGTATATTACTGACTTTTAAAATTTTTAGTCACAAAAAAATGCACATTAGATTAAAGAGTATGGGAACTACAAGAGCATAGGTGCCGAGAGCAAACGTCTTGAAACATTGAAAAGAACACAAAAAGATCACACATTTCTACATGATAACTTCCCTAACTTTTTGACCTATTGGAACACATCAAACTAAGAAGCCATCAAAGATTATGGCCGAAGATATGAGAGGCAAATGTGCATACCGATCAACCCCGGGGCTTAATGACCCGAGAGACTCTTTCGAAGAAGAGCGGAATCATATTTGTGTTAAACTTGTTTACACCTCTCATCCATGTCGGCACCACTCTTTGAAATGTCCCCAGCGATATAACATTATAGAGCAGCTCAGCTTCTTCACCGTTTGAGTTATTTATCAAAGTTAAGCTGAATGATAGACCTGTCATGGTCAAAAGCCGGGAGAAAGATTCAAAAAACTGTTGGATGTAAATGACAAAAAGTGTATGTTTTTACTTGAAAGCAAACATAACGATATGTCAAAAGAGATTACCGCTTGATGAGTGCGAGGCAACAATGCAGACTCGTCCCCCTTCATTACTAGTTGACAATTTCATCCCTGTCAAGTGTTCGCCAAGAGCGTGAAATGGACAACCAGTAGAGTTACTTGATCCCTCGTCGGTTGTTTTACAGCACTGGGGTTGAGAAACCAAGAGAGTTTCCTTGACAAAAGAACAAGTAAAAGTTAGCAAAACTTTATGACTCACTTGAGGAAGATGCTCCAGCTTAAATCAATTTGTTTTACCGTTGTTGATTTTTGAGGTGATACCTCTGTCTGCCTGCCACGTTTCCTCAGGCTTCTCTTAGGCGATACCTCATCCGTTTCCACCATATTATTGATGTTTTGTTTTACCGTTGTTGATTTTTGAAGTGATACCTCTGCCTCCCTGCCACCTTTCCTCAGGCTTCTCGTAGGCGACCCTTCATCCGTTTCCACCAAATTATCATCCTCTGACTGCCTTGTACGTTTCCTCATGCTTCTAGTTGTAACTTGAGGAGACTGTGGAGTCTTTCGTTTTGTTCCACTCTGATCTTTGTAGTTGTGAGGAACTCCTTCTGAGATAAGCTGTCTGAGTTTCACAACTTCCTCGGAAAGTGCCTTGTCTGTAAAAAGAAAATAATGTCGAGCTAGTAAAAGAACAAGAAAGGGTCGAGAACACTCTCCCTTAACCAGGAATAAGCAAATCATCAATCAAAGTAAAAATTGCAAACTTACTCTTCCGTTGTTCTTCCAGAAGACACTTCTGAGACTCGAGACGCTCCTCGTCCCTTGAATATCTGTGGACAAAGATAAAATTTTACATCTTCACAAGAATTCAGGGGAAGAAGATTAACAGACTGATATATATATGTGTACTACATGCCTGAATTCAGTGTTCTCATTCCTTAATCTCTCCACAATCACATTCAAATTCTCGATTTCACTTCTCAGATGCTGCGTCAGGGTCTCTGAGGCTGCTAAAAGGCAAAAGACAGACTAAGAACAGACTTTCAAAACACAATAAACAACTTAAAACTCAATGTTTATATAGTTCCAAATGTTTACAAGGGCATTGATGCTTTGCTCTCTAACAAATATGCAATCTAACCTAAAGAGAGTGAAAACATGAAGCGGGGGATGTTGTAAAGGAAGAGACTTTCTGTACCTGAGACAAAGGTGAGGAACTTCTCTTCTTGTTCCCTATTTACCTCATCTAATTCCGAAAACTTCTTCTTCTGGAGAAACAAAATCGAAATGTTAGAGTTTTAAAAAAAAAAAAAAATCGAAAACCCTAGAAATTAAAATCAGAAATTAAACCTTGAGGGTGGTGTATCTGTCGTAGAGCTTGGCGTAGAGAGCATCCATCTCCTACTACTGAAGAATCAAGAAATAACAATTTGGGGGATTATAAAGACCCGACGAATAACACGAAGCAAAATCAAAGAAGAAGAAGAGAAAACAGAGCGCTTACATTTCGATTCGAGAGAGCAGGTAGCAAGCAACAACACACGATATGATTAGTGAGGGACTGAATCTAATTGACAGGCTAGCAACGCGACGATCAAAACAGATTCACGGAGTAGAAGGATAAGAGAGCGTTCTTTTTACTTTTTCTTTCTCCGGAAAGAGAAAGAGTATATAAAACGTGGAAGAAAAGAAACGACGTCGTTGCGAAAGCAATAGCCCTATAGGAATAATCTTTTTTTCATTTTTCCCCCTTTTCAAAATGTCGAAGTGAGCGGCTTTTTGGTGCGTTTGAAATAATACCCACCTACTTATCTGTAACGGCTACATTAGAAAAACATATTTGTATTTATTGTGTGGATTGTTTTGTTGACTTTTCTTTATATTGATAAACTAGTGTGAATCGATTGATATTGTCATGTTTTTCCGTAATCCATATGCTGGAGTAGCCATTGTGGCATTCAATTTACATTTGAGTATAAATGGTATTAGAGCAAGACAGGTTTGTGTCTTTACATGTTTGACTAGAGTAGATAATGTGTTTTGGTGATAACTGATTATTTAGTAACGTTGTGGCACTCAATTTACCCTGCTAACTTCAATACACATGAATTCCCTAACATTTTGACCTATTGAAAAACATCAAAGAATATAAGAGATTCAGATGTACAGACCGATAAATCCTGGGCCTTAGTGACCCGAGAGAGCCTTTCGAAGAAGGCATAAGTCAAATTTGTGCTAAACTTTACAACATCTCGCATCCATTTGGGCGAAACTCTTTCAAATGTCTCCAGCGACTCAGCCTTGTAGAGAAGCTCAGCTTTATCACCAGTTGAGCTATTTACTAAAGTCAAGGTTAATGATAAACCTGTCATGGTCAAAAAAGGCATGGAGAATGATTCAAAATCGGTGCTTTTCTGATGATCTAAAAGCTGTTGGATGGTTCATCTTAGGAATTAAAATAAATGACAGGAAAGCGTATGTTTTTACTTGAAAACAACCCAGTGACATAAGGAATTTACGGTTTGATAGATGTGAAGCAACAATGCAGACTCGTTCGTCTTCATTATTTGTTGACAGTTTCAATCTTGTCAAGTGTTCGCCAAGTGCTTGAAATGGACAGCCAACAGAGTTACTTGATCCCTTGTCGGTTGTTTTACAGCATTGTGGTTCCTTGAAACAAAAGCAAGAATAAGTAGAAGTTAGCAAAAAAAATATGAAGGAAGATAGATGGATTCAAAGAATTTCCACACTTACTGTTTTAGAACCAAAACCTACCACGAACCAAGAAGAAGTGTTAATTAGGGAGGATAGGGTCTCCTCGTTGTCCAAGGAAAAAAATGGATAGGTCTCTCTTCTAGGTTGGGTTTGGTTTGGATTTCGATATATCATTCGTTCGAATATTTTACAAACATCGATTTGGTTTTCGTTTGGTTATCCCATAAATATCCAAATATGAGTATTTTATTCAAACCTGATTAGATTTGATTAGATATATATCCAAACCATCAAAAAATTTACAAATCATCTGAGATCAAAATATTCTAAAATATGGTTGATTTTATACAAAGTTATTTTAATTTAAAATACATAATTAGTTAACTAAAGACTATACAAGTGTACTCAAATGAGATTTGTATTAAAATTTTAAAATTACTGTTAAAAGTAAAACATAGTGAATTTTAGAAATCTGTTGAATTCTTAAAAGTGTTTTGGTAGAACTTTTTAATTAAAATATCAAAATCCGAACTTCATAATTTGGATGTGATTTTATAGTCTATTTGAAATCTCAATAAATTTTACAATTCATCCAAAAGCATCCCAAAACTTTATATTACTCCTTACATTGCAAGTAGATGGAAGGAGTAATGAATGCATAACAAATATCCAACTAATCCGGTTTAGGAACAATAGTTTTTTTTTTTTTAATTATAATTTTACTATGGGTTGTCTGTTCAGTTAAAATATAAAGTTGGGCTGTACATTTTATTCGTTAAATTTGATTCTATTCGATCTAAAAATTTCAGATATCCGTAAATCGTTGAAGCAAAGAAAATACTAAAAGTTAATATCTGTTAGAAACAAAGCGAACCACAAATACTAAAAAATTTAGATCCGGCTATCTGATCCACTCCGACATTATAAAAATAGATGTAAATCTACAAATAAATATAGAGTTTTATATGTATAATTTTATATAATTACTATTTAAAAATATCATTTTATTAATTTTATTTAAAAATTATTTATAAATTCTTTATAAAAACTAGAATTTTCTAAATTTTTGTGATTTAAAAGAATTTAGTTAATTTAAAAAATTATGGAACATATACTTTTGTAATTTTTATTTTTATTTTGTATTATGTACAAATATTTTTTGAAAACGATTTTGTATCGTTTTTTAGATTTACTTGTATTAACAAAATAGTTGAAATATCTGTAAATATTAGTAAATATAAAAAAAAATATGGATATCCATATTTTTCTGAAGAAAAACAAATCAGAATATAAGATACCTGTAAGATACTAAGCAAATCACAAATACTGAAAATTATGGTGTTATTCGATCTGTGCCCACCCTTAATTGTAAGTAGTAACTAGGATTCTATCCGCGTTAATACGCAGATTTTTTTTTTGGAATGTGAGTTTGTGTTGTAAATAGGAAAATAAAATAAGTTAACTTATTTTATATTTATGAAGTAGATAGTCAGTCATATGTGAATTTTGAACCACCAATGTTTGGCAAGTTATGTTAAGTTTTTATGATTGTCTACACTTTACAGCATGTCGTATAGAGAGAAATGTGAGTACCACACATACATAGGGGTGGGCATTTGGGTATCCATTTGGGCTCGGTTCGGAACTATTTGGGTTTCAGATTTTCGGAGTTAGAGATTTTAGTTCTATTCGGGTACTTATAAATTTTGGTCCAGGTTCGGTTCGGATCTTCGCGGGTTCAGTTCGGATAACTCGTTTAAGCTATTTTTAAAAAAATTAAATATATATACATTAAATTTCAAAAATCTAAAATATAAAAATGATGTATAACATGTAATTTTGAGTAATGTATGCCAAAATACCTTAATTTAACATAAAATTTAGTTTAACTTGAATATTTGGATGGAGAATTAATATCTCAGTATCACTGTGCTTTTGTTTCTTCTATTACTCCTGCTATTCATCGTTTACATAGATCTCCTTCTATTCCTACACATCTTTGTTGCCTTATACCTTTTTCTACTTCGTCTGATTCTTTTCCTTCCTCTTATAAAACACCTTATCCCATTTCCTCTTCTGTCTCTTATGATCGTCTTAACCCTGTTTTTCAAGCTTCTGTTCATACATATTCTATGGAAACTGAACTCAAAACTTTTCAACAAGCCATGAAATCTGAAAAGTGGAAAAAGACCGTGAATGTGGAACTTGAGGCTATGGAGCAAAACAGAACATGGTATGTTGTTTGTGGGCTGTAAGTGGATCTTTACAGGTTGTTTGGTAGCTCAGGGTTTCACTCAACAGGAGGGCGTAGATTATATTGACACATTTTCCCCTGTTGCGAAGCTCACAAGTGTCAAACTTCTTCTTAGTCTTGCTGCAGTTAATGGATGGAGTTTACATCAGATAGATGTGTCTAATACATTTCTTCATGGTGATTTAGATGAGGAGATTTAAATGCGTTTACCTCAGGGATATACACCTCCTCCTGGTGTTGAATTACGTCCTAATCCTGTTTGTCGTCTCAGGAAATCATTATATGGCCTTAAACAGGCTTCTCGGCAATGGTATAAACGTTTTTCATCCGTTTTACTTGGGGATAACTACATCTAATCTCCTGCAGTCTCTTTGTCAAGAAGAATGCTACTTCATTTGTTGCTGTGTTGGTATATATTGATGATATCTTGATTGCGAGTAATAATTCTGCTGTAGTGGCTAACTTGCAGAATTTGCTTCGGTCTGAGTTCAAGATTAAAGACCTTGGTAAGGCTCGTTTCTTCCTTGGTCTTGAGATAGCTCGTTCTTCTTCTGGAATATCAGTTTGTCAGAGGAAATACACTTTGAATCTGTTGGAGGATTCAGGTCTTCTTGGTTGCAAACCTAGTTCAATACCGATGGATCCTACTCTGCATTTGACCAAAGATATGGGGAAGCCACTTTCTGATCCAAAAGTTTATAGGGAACTTATTGGACGGCTTCTGTATCTTACTATAACGAGGCCAAACATCACTTTTGCGGTTCATCAACTGAGCCAATTTCTCTTTACCCCTACAAATACTCATTTGCAAGCAGCTCATAAGATTTTGAGGTATCTTAAGAACAATTTATGGCAAGGCTTGATGTATTCTGCTAATTCAGAGTTATGTCTCAATGCTTTTGCTGATGCTGATTGGGCTACCTGCATAGAAACTAGGCGTTTGATCACTGGTTTTTATGTGTATCTTGGATCCTCTTTGATCTCATGGAAGTCCAAGAAGCAGGGTGTGGTCAGTAGAAGTAGTACAAAGGCAGAGTATTGGAGTTTAGCATTTACCACTTGTGAGTTGATTTGACTACAACAACTATTGCGTGATCTTCACGTTACTGTTACTGGACCTTCAAAACTCTATCGTGATAACAGATCTGCATTGCATATTGCCATGAACCCATTTTTTCACGAACACACAAAGCATATCGAGATCGATTGTCATACAGTTTGAGATCAACTTAAGGCAGGCAAGCTGAAGACGTTTCATGTTGGTACTGGTAATCAGCTTTCTGATATACTCACCAAACCACTTCATCCTGGTCCCTTTCATTCGTTTCTGTCTCGTTTGTCATTGTTAAGTCTTTATCAGATACACGGATAAAGACTTGAGGAGGATATATTAAAATATAGATCCCGGTTTAATGTTGGTTATGGTTAAGTCTCCTTTAGCTTAAACCATACAGCTAGATAAAGAGAACCGTGTTGTACATTGCAACGTTTATGAGGAATAAAAACTTTCAATTTCATCTTCTTCTTTTTCCCTCTAAGCTCGAGCTCAAATCTTCATCTTCAGATTATTTGATTCAGATCTTAATAGCACCTTTAAGTAACTAAATAATAGCTTACGGGATTATAACGTGTTGTAAAATCAGATAGCACGTTAAGTATGACTGTTAGTCACTTTCGTGTTTAGAAAGCACGAGTTGGTTTTGGATTTTTGTGATGCAAATGCGTTATAATATATCATCGATTATAATCTCCATAATCCTCGTCTCCTCATCCTCAATAGCCTACGAGATTTTCAAGACTCATTACATGAGCGTTTCCTACCGTGGCCTCCCTCCCTCCTATACACGAGTCATTCTTGTTTGGTTCTTCCACTTTCCTCATGGAGATTACTTGAAGTTTATGAAGAAGCTCATCGTCTCAAACCTTCTCGGATCGCAGGCACTAGAGCGTTCATGAGCCATCCGTGCAGAGGAGCTGGAGAAGTTCTACTCAAACCTGTCCGATAAGGCGGTTAAGAGTGAGAGCTTAGAGATCAGTAAGGAAGCAATGAGCCTCATTAACAACATCATCTTCAAGATTCTCATGGGGAGGACTTGTTGTCCCGGTGAGGCTGAGAAAGCCAGGGTCTAGTTATTGAGTCATTTGCATTGTTTAAGAAGATTTTATTTTCAACATTGCTTCAAAGACCGCTCGAGAAGTTCGGAATCTCACTGTTTAAGAAGGATATACTGAGTGCTTCCGATAGATTTGACCAGTTTCTAGAGAGAATTCTAAGGAGACATGAGGAAGAGAAGCATCAAAATTCTACGGAGACATGATGGATGTGTTTTTGGAAGCTTCTCAAGATGTGCTGAGTATAAGATCACTAGGAAGCATATTAAATATTTTCTCGTTGTAACTATGCTTCCTCTCTCTCTCTCTAAGTAAGAACTCAAACCAACATCATTACTAGTTATCCTAACTATAGAAACGTTCTTTACAAGAGAAGGAACTTTTCATTGCTGGCACTGACAGTGTAAGGCAAACTAAACAGTGGACAATGGCTGAGATCATTAACAACACTAGCATTCTCGAGAGTATGAGAGAAGAACTTGATTGCATGGTAGGCAAGTCTAAGGATAATTCAAGAAACAGATCTACCAAACCTTTCTTATTTGCAAGCAGTTGTCAAGGAAAGACTGAGACTCCACTGACCAGCGCCTTTTTTGCTTAGGATTTTCAGAGAAGAATGCAAGATTGGTAGCTATTATGTACCAGAGAAGACAACACTTGTTGTTATTTATGCTGTGATGAGGGATCCTGATTCTTGGGAACACCCTCTTGAGTTTAAGCCAGCGAGGTTTCTAACTTCTTCGATATCATCATAGCAAGGGCTTAAGTACATTCAGTAGCGGCCCTAAGGGGAAGCAAAAAAGCATAGGTTTCCGACTTTTTTTTGTTTATGTATAATATTAGTCAAAATATTTGATAAAACATTAAATAGCTTAGTGGTTAATGAAAGTAAAAATAGAGATGTAAATAATGGATTCAATTCTTAGTTACAACAATAAGCTTTTTTTTATTAATTGCTTCCGGTCTATAAATATTCAGAGCCGGCACTGAGTACATTCCATTATTTTTTCTTACTAAAGATTCTGAAATGTGATTTCTTGTCACTCAGAATAATATCCAGTATTATCAACCTGTTACTGTTTTCTAAAATCATTCTTTTACTGATTACAATCAGTATGCAAAACCATATCCTGATTTTCTGGACCTTTCGTTTAGATGATTTCATGATGTTTCACTTAAATGTATATCAATTCAACAGTTGGTTCATATTCAACGACACATCTTCTCATGCCGATGTACCTGACAAATCTTTTCCTGTCAAAACTGATTGTGTAATGATGGAAATTGTTTGGTCGAACTCGCACCACACATCCTCAAACTAAAAAACAAGGCATGTCACTTCAGAAAAAATGAACGGTGGATGGTCGATTTCTTAGAGCAACAATATATGACAATAATGATCAGAATTGGATCTCAAGCTTGATGAACTATTTAGTGCAAATTTCAGTCTCTAACTCGAATTTCAATGGAATGTCAATGAAACGGAACGATATGGATGTTTTTTCCATCTCGATTCTATAAAAATATAATTTATTAATCTCTCTGTTTCATATTATAAATAGTTTTGGGAAATTCTTTTTTTTTTTCAAAATATAAGTTGTTTTAACATTTCAATGATTTTTTTGTACTTGTTATGTATTGTAATAAAATAATACATGTATTTTTGTGATTTGTTAAACTTATACATTAAATGATACTTTTAAAAAAGCAAGAAAAATTCTTAATATTGATGATTTTAACTGAAACTACTTACATTTAGAAACAGAGGAAATATGAGTTAAATGAAAGAATCCTTTATATAAAAATAAAAAGAATTTTTTTTAATGAAATGTTAAATTTATTGATCATCATGAAAAGAATAATATGTACAAATAATGTGGTTTATATGGACTTGCTACAAAAGAATTTGATGAGAAAGGAGTGAAATGAATTTATTTCATCTTTACATCACATTTTTTTGACAACGAAAACTGATCTATTATTCACATTAATGTGATTTCATTCTTTATATTCTATTAATTAATTTTTGTGTTTGACGTCTATAGCTAAAAGTATTTATTTGTGGAATACTCATGATTTTAATCACTATTTTTATGTGCCTACGATAATAATATTTGAATCATTATATTTTAATTTGTTTAAATAATTTTTTACTATTTAAAAAATGGTTTATGAATACTATTTTATATTTTAAAATACAAACAAAACATGTACATTTAAGTCTCTTGGAGGTTTATAAAGTCTAAATTTTAAAAACTTTAATCTTGGTATTAAAATATGAATATAAAAATCAAACTTTTAATTATTAGAATAAGTGGACAAATAACCAGGCCCCGGTTATATCGTCCCCGGCCCTTAGAGCTGTCTGGAAATACGTCTACACAGTGTAACGTGGTAAGATGAAACACAAGTTGAGAGTCGTAACAGACAAATTTCATTTTCCGAAAGATAAATATTTGAAAGGCCGCTCAGACTTTATAACATGAGATTTTATCAGTTTCAAGATAATTGTTTGTCACATACACATGTTCCACGCAAGTGAATAATCTTAATTCGTACATAATAAATGATTGCGTGTAATAAAACTAAAACCTATATGACGAAGGAAAGAAATTTGTGACCGAGACAAGCTACACGCAAGTTACTGAGTTGTGTAAAAGTTGAGACACATGCGAGTGGTTACCTAGGTTTTTGTTTTCGTTAATTATAGAATGCTTGCCTAATCGAATTACTTGCATTCTGGCTGTATAGATACTGATAAGAACTGGAGTTGCGTAGGTTTGTTTACTCGTGTCTTAATTTGGAACACTAGCTACAAAAAGACAAAAGTGGTGATTAAATGATTTTGATCCAAACCAAAGTCATGTAGTTTTTCTAAGCAAGGAAATAAATGATTTTGATCCAAACCAAAGTCATGTAGTTTTCCTCAGCAAGGAAATAAGTCATGTAGAGTGCAAGTAGTTGTTAAACCCCTCCACAGCCATAATAACCTTACTTCGAAGCCTAATAGGCGGAATATATATGAATTCATTTTGACAAAAATTAGCATTTTAACTCATAAGCCCTAATTTCAGTTCATCTTCTAACAAAACATTAGGACATGTACATTAGTGAACTGGAGAGAGGTTTACCACGTGTTCAATATATTGATTTTTTAATTTTTGCTTGTTTGTTTTTTAGAAAAAAACAAATAACCGAGTCAATCACAAACTGTCAGGTGGTATGAGGCCGCGAAACAATATGAACCAGGTTTATCCCAGCGAACTTACACGGATCACCAAAATTATCTTTTTTTTTTTTTTTTTGAAAAACGTGTGAACCTCTCTCATGAACCTTTAATGCAGATGCTCTTAACTCCTAACGACTAAATCCTAAGTATTAAATATTTTTTTTTTCATCTTTAATAAAATTTATTTTATAAATTTGTATTTGTACATTAATTTTGTAATAAAAATATGATTTAACCATTTCGGGTATTTTTCTATATTATAAATACTACTTGTCCACTTGCATTATTTCAATACTAAGAACCTTTCATCCGCTGGTCTATATAATAAGCAGATCATGTTCGATCCCTGAACAACGAATACCTCTTGTTTCATCAACCTCATCTCCACTTTGAGCAAACAATGATCAACGTTGAGTTTCAAAACCTTTTCATACCGACTCTCCTATGCCTTTTCTCACTCCTCTGTTTCGTTACCTTCTTCTCCAAGAAACCAAAGGATAGCTCTGATTTGCCTCCAAGCCCTCCTTCCATGCCAATCATTGGTCATCTTCACCTTCTTCTCTCTTCTCTAATCCACAAGTCTTTCCAGAAAATCTCATCAAAGTATGGACCTCTCCTCCATCTCCGCATCTTTAACGTCCCTATACTCCTCGTCTCCTCAGCTTCAGTGGCTAACGAGATATTCAAGTCCCATGACGTTAACATCTCCTCTCGAGGTCTCCCTCCCATCGACGAGTCCCTCTTTTTCGGATCTTCAGGCTTCTTCTCCGCTCCACATGGAGATTACTGGAAGTTCATGAAGAAGATCGTTGTCGCTAAGCTTCTTGGCCCGCAAGCAATAGAACGGTCAAGAGCCCTCCGTGCAGAGGAGGTAGAGAGGTTTTACTTTGAACTGCTCGAGAAAGCGATGAAGAATGAGACCGTTGAGATCCGTAGAGAAGCCATGAAGTTCACTAACAACAGCACATGCAAGATGATAATTGGGAGGAGGTGTTGGGAGGAGAATGGTGAAGGTGAGAGAGTCAGGGGTTTGATTACTGAATCGATTGCCTTGACTAAGAAGGTTTTATTTGCAACCTTGCTGCGCAAGCCACTTGAGAAGCTAGGGATCCCACTTTTCAAGAAAGAGATAATGGATATTTCTGATAGATACAACGAGGTGCTTGAGAGCTTTCTTGTGGAACACGAAAAGAATTTAGAGAAGCATCATCAAGGTAAGGATTTGATGGATGTGTTGTTAGAAGTTAAAGGAGACGAAAACTCAGAGTATAAGATCACTAGAGATCACATCAAGTCCTTGTTTGTGGTAAACTAAAATCTTCCTCACGTCACATATAGGTTGATTCTTTAATTAGTTTCCCTGATTGAGAAATGTTTAAAACTTGCAGGAGCTTTTCCTTGGAGGTACTGACACATCAAAGCAAACAATACAGTGGACAATGGCTCAAATCATTAACAACTCTAAGGTTATTGAGAGATTAAGAGAAGAGATGGACTGTGTTGTAGGGAAATCAAGGTTAATTCAAGAAAATGACCTACCAAACCTCCCTTACTTGCAAGCTGTAATCAAAGAAGGGCTAAGAATGTATCCACCGGTACCTCTCTTTGGAAGGAGGCTTCAAGAAGGATGTAAGATGGGAGGGTTCTATGTCGCGGAGAAGACTACACTTGTGGTTAATGGTTATGCTATCATGAGAGATCCTAATTACTGGGAAGATCCTGATGAGTTTAAGCCAGAGAGGTTCCTAGCATCTTCAAAAACAAGAGGGAGAGAGGAAGAGATAGGAGAGCAAGTGCTTAAGTATCTTTCTTTCGGGAGTGGTCGGAGAGGATGTCCTGGATCGAATCTAGCTTATATCTTTCTAGGAACAGCTATTGGAATGATGATTCAGTGTTTTGATTGGAGAATCAATGGAGCTAAGGTTAACATGGAAGAGACTCTTTCAGGAATGGTGTTGACAATGGCTCATCCTCTTAAGTGCACTCCTGTTCCTCGAATCTGTTGTAGCTTCCCAGTTCGTCACTGATCTCTCATTAGTCATTACCTTATAACTTAAGTGTTTGTATGATTGTCTTTTTTTTTTTTTTGCTAAAAATGTTTGTATGATTGTTAAAAATTAGTAATATAAATAAGGAATCTCTGTTAAGTGTCCCGGTTCATTTTGGTCTAATAAAGTTTGGTTTACTTTACTGTCCTGAAGTTGAATAATACAATGAGATGAGACTGTTCCATTATTTAGTGTCTTCACATACACAATACTTGATTAGAAGACAAGCAAAAGTAAATGCTTATTGATTGAAATATATTGGTTCCATGCACATAACATCCACGTGGAACACTGGTTGTCACCGTGGAGGTTGAAGATGGTTCTTATGATCACGAGTGTCTCAAGGGACTTGTGATCCTTATATATTTTATTTATTATATAACAACAAATCAGATCCAGTATTTACGCTTCTTTGTACACAAGGGAGCATTATTGAGTAGTAGATAAGAGGATACTCTGCCTCTTCTGCCTCTTCACTTTGAGCAACAATGGCAGTAAGCTTTCAAGACTCTTTGATCTTAATCATCATATGCTTATTTGCACTCATATGTTACTCTCTCTTTTTCAAGAAACCAAAGAACGGCTTTGAAATGCCTCCAAGCCCTCCTTCTCTACCCATCATTGGCCATCTTCACCTTCTCCTCTCTGCTTCTACTCACAAGTCTTTACAGAAACTCTCTTACAAGTATGGTCCTCTCTTCCATCTGAACATCTTTAGTTTTCCTGTGATCTTTGTTTCCTCGGCCTCAGTGGCGTACGAGATCTTCAGGGAACACGATGTGAACTTCTCGTTTCGTGGAACCCCTCCTATCGATGAGTCCCTCTTGGTTGGATCTTATGGATTTTTCACCGCTCCTTATGGAGGTTACTGGAAGTTCATGAAGAAGATAATGTTCACGAAGTTACTTGGACCGCAAGCACTAGATCGGTCACGTGGTATCAGGGCTGATGAGGCAGAACGGTTTTACGCTAGCCTGCTTGATAAGGGAGTGAAGAATGAGAGCGTTGAGATTGGTAAGGAAGCAATGAAGTTCACAAACAATATTATTTGCAAGATGATCATGGGAAGGAGTTGTAATGAAGAGAATGGTGAGGCAGAGAGAGTCAGAGACTTGGTGACCAAGTCTACTGCCTTGACCATGAAGATTTTTGTGGCAAATATGTTTCAAAGACCCCTCAAGAAGCTCGGAATATCACTGTTTAGAAAGGAGATAATGAGTGTTTCTTGTAGATTCGATGAGGTGCTAGAGAGGATTCTTGAGGAGCACGAAAAGAAAAAAGATGATGATCAAGATATGGACTTGATGGACGTGTTGCTGGAAACTTGTAGAGACGAAACGGCAGAGTATAGGATCACTAGGAGCCACATAAAGTCCTTGTTTGTGGTAATTAAATGTCTAGATTCAAAAGAACATCGTTAGTTGTCTGAAAACCTTTTTTTGGCAAGTGCAGGATCTTGTCATTGCAGGCAGTGACACTTCAAGACATGCAACACAATGGACAATGGCAGAGATCATTAACAACCCTAAAGTTCTTGTAAGATTGAGAGAAGAGATTGATTCCGTTGCTGGGAAAACAAGGTTGGTTCAAGAAAGGGATCTTCAAAACCTCCCTTACTTGCAGGCGACTGTTAAGGAAGGACTGAGACTGCACCCTCCGGGAGCTCTCTTTGCGAGGAGCTCCCGAGAAGGGTGTAAGATTAGAGGATTTTATATACCGGAGAACACACCACTGGTTGTCAATGCTTATGCTGTGATGAGAGATCCTGATTCTTGGGAAGATCCTAATGAGTTTAAGCCAGAGAGGTTTCTAGGTTCTCCAAGATCAGGACAGGAAGATGAGAGAGAGAATGCACTTAAGTACATTCCTTTTGGTAGTGGAAGGAGAGGATGTCCGGGATCAAATCTAGCTTATATCATTGTTGGAATTGCAATAGGAGTGATGGTGCAGTGTTTTGACTGGAAGATTAAAGAAGATAAGGTTGACATGGAAGAAGCTCCTAGAGCACTGGTCTTGACCATGGCTCGACCACTTAGGTGCATTCCTGTTGCTCGAACCTGTAGATTACAAGTTCCTGACTTGGAGATGTCACTTAACTCTCAGACATAATTCTTAAGGTGATTAGGAAAGCTTGTGTTGCACTCAGTTGTTCGGTTAATTGGTTCATTTTGGGGATTACTGGTTTATCTTAGTATGGAAATGTAAATCAGTTATACAGATTAGCTAAAATTTATATTTGAAATATAAAAGGGAACTGTCTTCACTTTTGCCCTCTTTTATCCAACTTTTTGAGGGTTTCCTTTACTTATATAAAGGCTTTCTTATTATGTGTAGTAATTTGACTTCAAAATTTTAGCAAAAAAAAAAAGGTTTTTGACTTTTGACTCTGTCAGCTAGCCTAAGTGCATATGAGATAACACAACATAAATCTACTAAAGTATTTTAGGCATAAATTGCGAACATCCCTGATGTAGACCCTTTTTACTTTGGAAATAACCCGTAAGCTCCCCGTTTACTTGAACTGAAAATGAAGCTGTAGTGATACATAAATAGATCCAGTGAACAAACCTCTCTAGGATTCCAAGAGCTTTCAAAGCGTTAATAAGAAATGACCATTTCACCGAATCAAACGCCTTAAAGATATCAATTTTCATTGCAAAACGAGGTGAGATTGTATCCTTATGGTAGTCCTTGACTAACTCTGTAGCTAGCAAGACATTCTCCATGAGCAACTTCTCCTTAATAAACGCATATTGGTTCCAAGTGATACACTTTGGAAGTATACTCTTTAATCTGTTTGCCAAATTCTTCGAGATCAATTTATACAAGATGTTACAGCAGGAGATAGGTCTGTAATCTCTCATTACCCTTACATATTGCTTCTTTGGAACCAGCTAAGATGGTGGAGTTAAGCCCTTTAGGTAAGAATCCCTTAATGAAAAAGGATTAAACAGACACTGTGATGTCTAGCCAAATATATACACCTAATATGCAATCTAATAATCAAAATGCATTAAAATGAGATGCTTAATGTTATTAAAATCATGTTATATCACATACCCAAACCATCACAAACATAATCTCGAGGACTATATGGCATCTCTTGTCACAATCACGCTTCGAGAAAACATGTCCCAATATCAAACTGAAACTCGACGACTAGCCAAAGTCTCGAAGACCCTTTTGACTTGATAAAGTGAGTTTCGTATAAAAGTCAAGGACCTACGAAAAACGTTCCGCGATTAGATCACGCTTTGAGAAAAAATGTACCAATATCAAACTGAAACTCGATGACTAGCCAAAGTCTTGAAGAACCTTTCGAGTTGATAAAGTGAGTTTCGTATAAAAGTCAAGGACCTACAAAAAACGTTATGCGATTAGATCATAACGAAATAGACCCTGGTAAAACTTCGCGAGTAACCCCAACCAACCTTCACCAAAGATCGAAATCAGCACGGAAACGTTTCTTGTAAAATCTGCGAAAACGTCGCTACTTTGACAAGTCCATACATAGCACCGATTCACCATCTTCATGAATCTGGTCACCCGTGTGACAAAAAAAAAGGTGAATGAGGAAGATCACGAATAATCTACAAGAAACACTCTCTGTTTACTTCCGTGAGAAGCCCTTCTTATGAAACTTACACAAAAAATCCTTTCTATCGTCAAAATAAGTATTATGAAGCAACTTTCTTTATCCTTGCGGCTCGCCGACTTTTGCTTTTCCTTTCCTCGGTTACATCCAAGCAGGAAGTCATCGGGCATGGGTTCTTTATCAAGCCCCTTAGGCTTTATCTTTGCAAGACCAAAAATAAAAACATTTTCGTACGACCAAAGGAAACATTAAACGAAACATTCATCGTATAAATGATACCTAAAGGGCAAAATTGTTTTGTAACACCATCGGCCATCTTAGCTTGGATAAACTTCAACTTGGTCCATCAAAATTCTTGAACGATCTTTGGCCCTCGGCCAATTACGCCCTCCAATAAAAGTCCGAACTAGAATTACGCATCCACTTTAGGGAAAATCTAAACTAACATGACCTTAATGTTAACATGAAAGTGCCATAATCTAGTCTTTGACCGGCAACGTCCTCGGCCATGCGGCTGAATGCATTCTTCATACCAAGCTAAGAATTTGAGCGACCACCGCTCCATCTGATTAAAGGCTAAACGAAGATCCACGATTTCATACCGATTATGCAAATAATTATCGTATAACCCAGAAACAGAAATCATACGATAAATTCTTGATAACAAAACTCGGTTTTAAAATCCAAAACACTTGAACTTGTCGATGTTCGACCAAGTTATGTACACTTCACAATTTACTTCAAGACCATAACAAATGTGGAAAATAAGGAGAAATTCATGAAAAATATCCTAAAGTTATACGAAACGTCCTTATCTATACTTGAAACAAATCTCGGAAACTTAATTCCTCACAAAACACAGTGAACAAAGACACTTCCTCCCAGAAACAAATTGATGCGACCCTTTGCTCCTAATTCCTCTATCGTGAATCAAATAATCGAACATTGAAATAGAAACAACAGTTTTAGCTGCGAACATCCGTAATTAAACCGAGACTTTTCTCTGACGCAGGGATCAAGACTAAACCCTTGCGCTCCTAAAAACATCTTCAAGCCCCCAAATATTTCAAACACAAAACGCGGCATACGAAAGAAAAACCAATCTTCAGCATAGCGAGACGTCGCAGAAGCCTGAATAATAGTTTTTCGAAAATACATTCCTCGATAAAATCACCTTCTTGGAAGACCAAACAGTCCAATCCGCGACTATAAAACACACAAAACTTCTTAAGATACGTATCCTTCGCGAAGGTACAAATAACGGTAATATCAACCACTTAAGTTTGTTGCTGATCACAGCAAACTCCCAAAAGTCCTAAACAGACTTAGCCATCTCATAGAGATAGCTCTCATACACCCGACACAAGGGTAATAGCGCTATACAAGAAATCCAAAATTTTTGTCAGCACCTTATGGGCTCTCGATTCCAACCAGACAAGTCGTATAAGCCGGGAACATATCGCGGACTTCGAAACGGTACGGAATCAGGTTAAAATCGTAACACACAAAATGAAAGCCGATTATTCATTGCGCAGCCTTAACCGAGAGTAAACCTAGTTCTTTCCCTAAACCCAGTACACTGGTCTCTAACATCTCAAGGCATGAATATCAAAAGATACGAGATCCTGAAAGCATGTCTCTTCGTTCACATCTAAACGCTCACGAAACTCTTTCGTACATCTTGAACGAGCAACAAATAGAACGATCTACAAAAAAGAGTTAGATTATGAGATGAGAACTCATAGTCTTTCCTCTACATTCATACGAATAAAAACATGCTCTTTAAACGCAAAACATAATTTACAAGGCAGCCGCAAAGCAGCACGGACTCGAAGCTACACACGGCCAGTCAAAAAAAAATAAAACGGCCACACTTGGCCTAAGCAAACAGACTACGAGGCAAGTCTCGATGCTGATACAAAATGCTATAAAGATCAACATGCTCGATAATCTTTACACATAACTAAACTGCAGTAAAGGTCTCACTAGAAAACAGGTCGTACGAACCTTAAATCCAAGACAAACTTCGAAAGGCTTGATCCCTTTAAGAGGGTATGTAGGCAGCCTTCATTAGGCGCAGCCCCAATCCTAATTTCCATTCCAAGGAGAGTGGGAAGACCACTTTTGACAGAACATTTGAACCATTAATTCCGCCCAACTTGCCTAACTTGCCTAAAATTTTCTAACCACTCGCTAGAACCTAACGCTAGAAGCTCACGGTTCTAACGAGCTGGGGGCTAACTGTTGGAGTCAAAACCAGTCACAAGAGAATCAACGCCTAAAAGTTCTCGAGAATTTTTTTACAAGAAAACTTAGTCACTTCTCGAAAAAACAAGGTCACCTAACACTTTGCGTATGCATACAAAATTACCTAAGTACTTCTTACGAGTTTACTAAAGTTATCCGAACATTTTCTAAAGTTATACGAAGTAACTAAAACGCTTCGTATGGAGACCAAAAGTCACCAAATACTTCGTATAAACTCAAAAAAACAAGGAAGATTGCATGATCTCTTAGCAAACGGCTCAAACATCCAAACGGGACCTCATACTACGAGACTATAGTCAACATCGCACACGACTTCCACTTCGCCCATTGGGCGAAGAGGATCGACATAATCGTTCACTTCGCCCGTTGGGCGAGGTGGACCAGTCTACTTTGCCTAGTTGACAAGGTGGACAACTCCTAGAGTTTTTTCTTCGAATCACAATCAAAATGCTTTTCGTTTTTTCTTAATCAGAGTTTCCGTTGAGATTTTACGACGAATACAAGTAAGACTTGCTGAAACTCCTTGACATTCTCCTACTCGACTTCTTGGGCATCCTACTCGCCCTCTAGGGCATTCAACTCGACCATTAACTCCTTTGTGTTCTCCTTTGAATCTCAATCGAAACCTCTCTTGTTTCATCTCGATCGGAGTTACCGTTGGAACTTTACGATAAAAACCGCAAAAACTTGTTTTCTCGTATAAGTTCAAATAGATCGTATAAAACGGCAACAATTAACTTAACACCAAAGTTGCATAGACTATATGAGAAATTTGAACTCTTTTTAAATTGACACTGTATCGATAATGTTCTTTCGAAGAAATTGTAAAAACGTTTAACTCAAAAACGGTCCAAAGAGGTATAAAACGCGACTAAAAGACCCACTTACAACTTCGTATGAAATTGAGCCCAATGATACAATGACGGTTTATCTTTTATTCGCAGGAGAAGATAAATGTCAAGTTTCCAAGGATAAATGTCAAGTTTCCAAGATAGTCATGAAGATCGAGACGAAATGGAAGTTTTCCGCAAAGAGATAAACTCAACCAAGGGCAGAAAAGGAAAGCATAAATCACCTCAAGGTGCATATATAAAGAGAAGTCAAAAACTCCCTTGGAACAATCCCCCAGGAAACGAGAAAGTTTCCAATTAATCTGAGTTTCGACAATCAAACTTATCACAACTAAAGTTTCTGAT